TCACTTGCCCTCTCCTTCCTCCGCTGCGCCTGGTGTACCCCTTCAGGGGGTGTTCTGCACATGGTTCTTCACTGCAGGCAGTTAGGGGGTGTGTCGGAATATAATTACATGCATTATATTATAATTGTCTGTAGTGTAGACATAATATAGTTCTAAACTTGTTTGGTGGTGCACCTCTCTTTTCCTTGCATATATGTTTCCAACTTTCTATAGTGAACCCATCCTTTCTCGACTTTTCTCCTTGCCTCAACTCTCTCGACACCCAAGCTATGCCTCCTAAGCCAAAACCTAGTTTCCTAGGTGCTTAGTATTTTGACACCAGAAACTCTAGCCTGTCCTGAAAAAATTGGAACCTGCTTCCAGATATGCTAAGTGCTGCTGCTTGTCGCGATTATAGACGAGGATGTCGTCGAGGTAAACTATCACGCATTTATCTAAGAGTGGCATAAACGCCTCGTTCATGGTCATCTGGAATGTCGCCGGTGCGTTGGTCAGCCCGAAAGGCATCACTGTGTACTCAAATGACCGGTACCTAGTCCTAAATGTTGTCTTGGCGCAATCCGATGGTTCGACCTGAATCTGGTGGTAACCTCCCCGTAAATCGATTTTCGAAAAGACCCCTGCAATTCGCAGTTGGTCTATCAGTTCGTCGGCGCGGGGAATGAGGTATCGCGATTTGACTGTAACCCTCTTCAGTGCCCTTTAATCGATGTGTCATAATCCCAGTCACTAGACCACTGGGATAGAAGGGCTTGTTAAGTAGCGGGTCAGTGCGCCCATAACCCCCCAGGCCAACATGCATGTAACCCCTCCCTAGGATCAATCGGGGATCACCACTGGACCTCTGACACGATGCACATGCAAAAACCTCCGTCCTTTTTTTGTGTGAACTGTATTGGTGCGGCGAACGGTGACGAGCTCGGTCGGATGAATTTTTTCTCTAACATGTAATCTAAATGCTTCCTCAGTTCGTCGAGCTCGGGCTGTGTCAGTCTGAACTGTCGCTGCACGGTTGGCTATGCCCCGGGTTCTAACTCTATTCGGTGATCGTGTGCTCGCTGAGGTGGTAGTCCCTCCGGTAAGTCGTCGGGAAAAATCCCCGGGTACCGTTTCAACAGTTCTTGTAGTTCGTGTGGTACCGCTGCCAGCAGTTTCTAAAAATCGCTCGGCTGCTCTACTTCTTCTACCACTGCGATATCCACCGCGTACACATCAGCTCCAGTGGCGACAGCCCGTTTCATTGTGATGGCGTTGACGTGGATTGTTGAAGACTTAAGCGACTGCCAGCGAGGTAGTTCAACCCAGTTACCGCTACTTCGCAAAATGCAGCTACCCGACGTCTAGTCGATTCGCGGGTTGTACCGCCGCAGCCAATCACATCCCAGTAAAATGCCGTGCCCATCCAATGTCGTCGCGGGCATTTCCTGTGTAAACCCGAAGTTTCCCCCGCAGCGGACTTTTACTCTCTCCACCTTATCCCGTATGGTCAGCGGCGTTCCGTCAACTAAGCGTGCGTCTATCTCCGGTAAACACCGACTAAGTGTCAGTTGCAGCTTCCTTGCAGTCGCAGTATTAACTAAGCTGTGACTTGCGCCTCGGTCTATAAAAATCTTCACTACTGCTCCCTGTATTTTGCCGTGGATCAGTACTGGGCAATCCGTCGTTGTACCCTCCTTATTCATCCAAGCCCGATCAATAGCGTGAGTTGGTAGTGTGACTCGGTGAGGGTCGGTGAGGTTGGGCGAGCAGGCAGTCTTGTCAGTAGTTGCCCCAAATTCTACTGACTGCTGGCGTTTCCAATGCCTCTGAGAATCCCTCCCCTGCTCTGTTCCGCGGTGCCTCAGCTCCTCTGGGCATTCGCTCTTGCGATGGCCCGGCCGATTGCAAGCAAAGCAGCGCCCCTTAAACGACGCGGCAGCTGCATTCGTCGCAACGGCGTGTACGCTGGCCTGCTCGATCGGTCCCAGAGGACGATGTCCATAGTAGGACCCTGGTCTCGGACGGCGCAAAATGTCGATATTCTCAGTGAGCGCGAGAATCTCGTTAAAATTCGAGAGCCCGCGTAGCATGATTTCGTGCGAGATGTCCGGCTTCAGCCCTCCAACGTAACGGTCCACCCGCTCCGCTTCGTGCATGTAACCGACTTGCTCGCATAATGCGAGAAAACCACTCGTGTAGTCTTGAACTGATCCGAGCTGCCGCCAAGTACGCAATCTCTGACGCGCCGAAATAGAAGCCGCGATCGGCTCAAAGCGCGCCCGAAGCCCTGCGCACCACGCATCCCACGTGCTGTACTGGGCTGTCTCGCAAAATGAACTCCAGGTGTCAGCTGGGCCCGTGGGCCCTTCCTCTTGCGACGGTGGCTCGTAGGCGCGTGGCGACGTCACGATGACTCGCCACCAGTCCATGGCAGGGCCCCTCAGCAGCGAAACAGCGTAGCGAATCTTCGCTGCGTCCGACTCGACGTAATTCGCGTCGAAGAAGACGTTCATTGTGAAGACCCACGATTGAACCATCGGACCTCCACGTTGGCTCGGGTCGAAACAGGGTGGGCGCTGCGGTTTGAGTGGCATTGGTGCCATGATGGCGTGCTCGCCACTTGTCACTGCAAATTCCACGTGCCGACGGGCTTCGCGAGGCTCCCGTGGGCTTGGTGCGGCCCTGTTCCTCTCCATGCCAGGCATTGATGGAGCGGCGCCATCACTGGCTACGCCTGAGCGTTGTCCCACGCTGTCGTTCTGTGTCGGTGTGCCTGATGAGATGACGATCGGCTCCTCCGATTATGCAGGTGCATTTGTTGGTGCTGGTGCATTCACCGTCGATTGCTGGCGAGCGGAGTCGCGTTCCGCCGTGAGTGTCGCAATTTCGAGTGCCGAATCTTCGATTTGGCGCACGAGACGGTCGAGCTGCTCTTGCGTCAGTGTCGCGGGATTGATTTCAGCCATGGCGGGGGTGTCGGGCGAGCTCAGCGAGAGCCTCTGTCGTGGCCGTGCGTGCTTACGAGAGAGCACTTCGAGCGGCGGTGCTTGTTTTGCTGAGAGACGTCTACCCCCCCCAAAATTGAGATAGTGGGGAAGCGAAGGTGTGGGTGCGGTCCAGGGTCCTCGACATCAGACATTTTTGTCTGTTTGTCTTAGTTTCCAGACGATTTTTTTCGAGCTAATCTGATTTTCAAGGAATGATTAATTTTTTCATCTGATTGAGTAGAAATGATTTCTTGTCTTCATCTGATTCATCAGAAGTGTAATATATGTTTCGTCTGAAATCGAAACATGTTAAGAGTACGGGGATTTCCCGCAGAACATGCTCTGACAGGGCGAATCTGTTGTCAAGGCGAATCTGCTGTGTTGTGTAAGGTCGAATCTCTTGTGTCAGGAAGAGTTTTCTATGATTGGACGAACATGTTGCGCTCTGACGTTGCGAATCTGCCGTGTCAGAGCGAATTTGCTCTGATTGGGCGAATAATTTGTGCTCTGACAGGGCGAATCTGCCGTGTTAGGGCGATTTTGCAGAGACCAGTGAAGTCCGAATCACACCAGTGTGTATTTCGAATGAATGTGACAGGACGAGAAAAGTCAGACTCAACTTGTTATCCCACGTGCATCTACACGCTAGAAACTCTATTTAATTGGTCAGACAAGTTCTTTTGAAATTTCTGATGCATCAGACACGCAAAGGCAAAATATCTGATGCATCAGACGGGCCCGAAGGGCCCGTCTGACGCATCAGGGGGGTTCAAATCCTAGCGAGGACCCTGGTGCGGTCCGAGAAGAGATCGTAGGCTCTGAATACCAAGTGTTACGAGTGCAATTGAGTGAGCGAGCGAGAATTGTACTATCGAAGCAACTGTACAATGAGCGAAGGCATGAGCGAAGAATATATAGCGAAACTACAGTGATAACGGTAATGTGTGGAAAAATGGGGTGCGCGACGGGCCTAGTGCCGAGGTTGGGAGTTGTCGAGGCGGAGGTCCGGAGCGCGGGTTACCAACCGAACCGTGAGGTTGGGTCGCGTCATGAACAGCGGCGGGAACAGTGTCGAGGTGAGTGTCGCGAGTGGTGACGGATTACTATTGGGTGCTGTTGGCGGGAAACGGTGGTGTACGCGCTGAGCAGGGACGCTAAGTAAGGAAAATGAACTGTCCTTGCACTAGCATAAGGGCTATTCCAGACTTACACGTATCAAATGCATGTGCGTTTGCATTGTCGTATGATAGGAACAAGGAGAATAATAGTGGTATTTAAATGTATTAATTCTATTACTACGTCAGAGCATCCTATTTAACTTTGGCTGTATGCCTACACTTCCTTGCCAGGAATGGTGGGGCCTACTAATCAACCGCAAAAACATTGCCAGTTGTGGGGAAGAGTACTTGCATGCTGGTCAAATTTAAAAAACAGTGTCACTCGGTGAACGCACAACTGAGTGCCTCAATAACATCGCCAATGGTGGGGAAGTGCTCCCGCACGCTAGGAATGACTTTGTGAACCGCATCCCTTGTTGTCCATGCGTTTCAAGCTGCGTCACTCGGTGAATGCACTGCTTAGTGCCTCGATAACATCGCCAATGGTAGGGAAGTGCTCCCGCACGCTGGGAATGCTGGCAGCATTTGGATCCGCCACTAGTGATGATTAGGGCCAGGAGGAAACAAATGCTTACGATCTTTAGAGGGCCAAGCTGCATCACTCAGTGAATGCATCACTGAGAGCCTCGATAACGTCGCCGATGGTAGGGAAGTGCTCCCGCACGCTGGGAACGCTGGCAGCATTTGGATCCGCCACTAGCGATGATTAGGGCCAGGAGGAAACAAATGCTTACGATCTTTAGAGGGCCAAGCTGCATCACTCAGTGAATGCATCACTGAGAGCCTCGATAACGTCGCCGATGGTAGGGAAGTTCTCCTGCACGCTGGGAATGCTGGCAGCATTTGGATCCGCCACTGGCGATGATTAGGGCCAGGAGGAAACAAATGCTTACGATCTTTAGAGGGCCAAGCTGCATCACTCAGTGAATGCATCACTGAGAGCCTCGATAACGTCGCCGATGGTAGGGAAGTGCTCTCGCACGCTGGGAATGCTGGCGGCATCTGGAGCCGGCACCAGCGATGGGTAGAGCCACGAGGAGACGCTGCTGATGAAGATGTGGGATGAGGGGCAGAGGATGGACTCCCAGTCCACCTGCACGCAGCGGGATGGAAAGAGATGTATGCAGAAAAGGAAAGGACAAGAACGGGGAAGGCATGAGTAGAGTGCCGTGCTTTAGATGCTGCTGATGGAGATGCGGGCCGAGGGGCAGAGGATGGACGCCCAGTCGACCCTGCACGCAGCACAGAGGAGTATGAGAGGATGGATGGTACACCCCCCAAGAAGTGAGGTTACTGACTTGCACACCCCGGATGTTGAGAAGTTACTGACTGCCCCTGATTAAGAAAGGGATCTTACCTGCACGCCCCTGGGAATCGGCTGCAAGACTTGGGGGTCAACAGCGAGCAGGAGGGCGAGAATACTGACCTGCACACCCTTGATAAGAGAGGGTACTGACCTGCACACCCTTGATAAGAGAGGGTACTGACCTGTACACCCTTGATAAGAGAGGGTACTGACCTGTACACCCTTGATAAGAGAGGGTACTGACCTGCACACCCTTGATAAGAGAGGGCACTGACCTGCACACCCTTGGCAAAGAGAGGATACTGACCTGCACACCCTTGATAAGAGAGGGTACTGACCTGCACACCCTTGATAAGAGAGGGTACTGACCTGCACGCCTCTAGCAATGGGCTGCGAGACTTGGAGGTCAACAGCGAGCAGGAGGGCGAGCGTCATGACATAGCCGTTCATGGCCGTGCCGCGTGCCAAGGGCATGAAGTTGTACCTGAGGGGATAGGAGAGGGGCAGGCAGAGAGGGGAGAGAGATACAGGGGCAGGGGAGGCAGGGAGAAAAAGAGACTCGGAATTGCGCAGCCAGCAGGAGGGCGAGCGTCATGACATAGCCGTTCATGGCTGTGTCTCGTGCCAAGGGCATGAAGTTGTACCTGAAGGAGGGGGGGAGAGGGGAGAGAGACATGGGGACAAGGAAAGAGTCATGACATATCCGTTCATGGCCGTGCTGCACGCCAAGGGCATAAAAATGTACCTGATGGGGTTGGCAATATGGTAGGGGAGCCAAGCAGCTTGTCAAAGACGTTAGGGCCAGACGGGGCCATTGCCACATGCAAATGTTTTGACTAAACATAACCGAAAACGCACCGTGAGACATTTCACCATGTGCCTTTCAGTTTTTTCACTGCCAAATGAGTCATGAATGCTGTCAATGCTGCTTAACCCACCAATAGTAAGCCATTCTCAGTATGTTGTCTTGAATTGCCTTGCGGTAGGCCTGAGGGTCCGAGTCACGGAGAGACGTGTGTGCCACGGACAGACAGATGTCCTGCAACAAGGGAGATTGAGATACGAGAGAGAGAGAGAGAGAGAGAGAGAGAGAGAGAGAGAGAGAGAGAGAGAGAGAGAGGTGAGGTGGGATAGCGATGAACTTGCAGGCAGTGAAAGGTTTGACTGGCGGTCGGTTGGTGTCACGGACATGGAAAGACGTGTGCGCCACTGCCAGACAGATCCCCTGTGAGGGAGAGGGGGGGAATGAGATCAGATAGACATAGGCGAGCAAGTGAGAGGGGCAATGTAAATAGATAGAGGCAGCATCGCGGGCAGTGAAAGGCAGAGATCGAGGGTCTGTGTCACGGAGTGATGGCAAGCTTGCGTGAAAGATAGGTTCCCGCCACCAGAGGATCTGATAGTATCAGATCTGATCGTATCAGATCCTTTCCACCAGCTGGGCACAACCCCTTTACCATCTGAAAACGTCAACCATACCATGGTGCAGCAACGCCAGTGAACACATGGCATGTCATGTAATGGCATCCATCCCACCTTCCACACAGCCGCCATCTCCATGTCAAAGTCCCTCCACCGGCCGAGCGTCAGCTCAATGCAAAAAGTGCCAAACATAACACCACACAGCACACACCACACCCCACACACCACACACCATGCATGCACCATGCACCAGACACCATGCGCCATGCAAGCACCACCATCCCACCTTCCACGCAGCCGCCATCTCCATGTCAAAGTCCCTCCACCGGCTGGGCGTCAGCGGCGTAGCACTTCAATCAAACGCCACCTCCCCAGGTAACACATAGTATGCCATGCCATGTCATGCCATCCCATCCCACCTTCCACGCAGCAGCCATCTCCAGGTCAAAGTCCCGCCACCGGCTGGGCGTCAGCGGCGTGCGAATCGCAAACTCCTGCCCGGGGTCGCTGTGACAGAGAAGGGGGATCGGGGGGGGGGAAGGGAGGGGTTGGGAAAGAAGAAATGGAGAGTGGGGGGGACAGAAGAGAGAGAGCGAGCACGGCATCACTGTGAGTAATGTGAATTGCAAACTCCTGCCTGGGGTCGCTGTGACACGCTGTGACAGAGAAGGGAGGTGGGGGAACTGGAGTGGTGCTTGCATGGTGGCATTGATTGATTGCTGCTACTTACGAGCCAGCGAGCAGCAAGCAGCAAGCAGCAAGCCGCGAGCATGGAAGGTGCTGTATAAACAATTCCTATATATATATATATGTAAACATATATATAGAATGTTTCGTGCGTACGTGCATGTATATGTGTCTGTGCCGTGTGTGTTTGTGCGCGTGCCGCACTCACACGTGCGTTTGCGCGCGCGCGCGCGCGCGCGCGTGTGTGTGTGTGTGTGTGTGTGTGTGCGTGTGTGTGTGTGTGCGTGTGTGTGTGTGTGCGTGTGTGTGTGTGTGCGTGCGCGCGCGCATGTGATGGAAGGCCCTGATGACTCACGTGGCAGTGATTGTGAGGCGAGTGCCGTTCAGCACCTTGCTGTTAGGGTGACGAAGGATAAGGGGGGGAGAGAGGTGAGAGGAAGGAGAGGAAAGGAGGCTGAGTTCAGCACAGGAGGAGACAGAGGGGGGGAGCCATGCGGGAAGGAGGACCAATTCAATAAGAGAAAGAGGGAACGTATGATCTGGGGAACAGTGGGGCTCAATTTGAGAAGGAGGTGCTTTTGTAAGGGGTGAAGACACAAGAAGCCTCTCTGCACGACGTGTCTTTTGGGTGACTCAGAGGTCATCTTGGAGAGGGCATTTGAGGCGCCTCAAAAGCAAGGCTTACTCGGGGAAGGCAGTGCTCTTGCACGGGGTGAAGACGAAGAAGCCTTTCTGGACGACGTCCCATAGCTGGTTGAAGTTGGTTGCTTGGTCCACCTGACATGGCAGGAGGGAAGGAGATGGAAGACATGTGTCACGCCACTCAAGGGTCACTCTGGTTGAGAGATGGATGATCCTCAATCAATTTCAATCAATTTCAACCAATTTCAACCAATTTCAACCAATTTCAACCAATTTCAACCAATTTCAACCATCAAGGAGTTGCTTGCATCTCGTCACATGGAAGGAGGGAGGAGAGGGTGGAAAATCGAAACAGGTGCAGACGGATGCTTTGAGTTGACTCACCATGAACTGCGAAAGATGCGGTGGTAGGAAGGCACATGTGTGTGACACACACAATTCCTCACCTTCTCCAGCGCCTCTTGACTAAGCGGAATCTCCGACCCATGCTCGCCGTACGCTGTGGTCCGACTGTCGCGATCTTCTTAGTCAAGTGCTCCAGTAATGTAGATCGTCGAAGAAGATTATTCTCAGGCGATCTCTCCGCATCAGTCCACTTCGTCCCAGCTTCTTCCGTCATGAAAAATCGAAAATCTAGAAAATCGTATCCGTGCAGATCTATCCCAGCTTCTACAGCGCCTCTTGACTCAGCAGAATCTCCGACCCATGCTCGCCGTGCGTACACGGTACACCTTGTGTGCTTTGATCCGACTTGCAATAAACACCCCCCCCGCTTCCCACACGCACACCCAAGCACCACACACCTTCTCCAATGCCTCTTGACTGAGTGGAATCTCCTCGTCATGCTCACCGTACGCCTTGTGTATCTTTGATTCGACTCAAACTCAACCCACACACACGACCCACCCCCTTTTTCCCCCAACACACCCAAGCACCACACACCTTTTTCAGATCCCCTTGGCTGAGCGGAATCTCCTCGTCATGCTCGCCGTACACCTTGCCGTGATGCAGCATCTCCTGCCGTACGATCTTGAACGCACTGTTGGTGATATAAGACGGATTCGAGATTGAAAGGAGGGTGAACAGTCGACCTCTTTGCATCACACCACCCATCACATCATGAGCTAAACGCTTAGAGGAAATGATTTGGTCAGGTGAGAAGGATCTCACCGGTCAGCATTCATAGAGTATCGAATGTTTCGAGTCTGTCCGGACACCATTGGTGTGACCGAACCGAACCCGGTTTCAAATGCTTCCCGGCTGCCACAGAAGGGATGGTTAAGAGAGTGCGGGGGAGTGATGGGACGCACGAGGAGAGAGGACGATGATTCAGATCAGACGCATTCAGGGCCCAATAGAAAGTATAGATGTGTATCGTGTAATCACACTCATAACCACAAGTCACGTGAGGCCGTCGATCCACACGATGGGGTCGTGGTTACCGTGTAACACATATGAGAGCCCCATGACTCACGTGAGGCCATCGATCCACACGATGGGGTCGTTGGGTTCGGCAATCTGGCGCCATCTCACTCCCATGCCGTACACGTCCCTCCACCCCACCCCCACCCCCTCCTCCACCTCCTCCGCACTGCTCCCCTGCACCACCTGCCCATTCTTCATCCAATCACGCCACGCCTTTCTCACAGTCTGCATGATGTCTAAAGCAGCCAGCCCTGCTGCTCGTTGCTGGGGAATGGAAGAGAACGAAAGGGGGTGGGGTAGGGTGGGTGGAATTTTGAGACATTGCCAGACGTCGCAACAAGCGTGCCCGCTCATGCCATGCCTTCCTTACGGTCTGCATGATGTCCAAAGCAGCCAGCCCTGCTGCTCGTTGCTGGGGAGGAGGGTGGATGGAGGAAGAGAGGAGGATGGACGGCGTGGTGCACTAAGAGGAGAAAGTGAGAGTGGAGATGGCAACAGTTAATGTAAGCCTATGGCGTTGCACTGAAACGAGCCGACCCATCGCATCTGTTAGAATTTATATATTATAGCATGCGAACACTTGTGACTGTACACCAAGAGTGGTGTACAGTTGGGTTGGTTCAGGCTCTAGTTTTGGGTGTATTGCGGGTAGACACCCTAATTGGGGTGAACCCAAATATCCTAGCTTAGACTTGGCTCCAACCTTGTTGGCCAAGTGGGGCAACCAACTTTGGTTGGTTGGCCACCGCCCCACTAGGGTTGGTTGGATGGTCCTTCCTCCCACTAGCCTACTTGGTCTTGGTGTCTTATGTGCTAGGTTTGGTGTTCTTCTCCAACCTTCTCTTTCTTGTATAACCTTGTGCTCTCTTGAGCTAATGTGAACAATTCTTCCTCAAGTTTCTATAGCTCCTAGTTTCTTTCAGCATCAGCTTGCAGCAGGAGCGCCTCTTTCTATAAGCACTTCAAGAGAGTCAACACCGACCCGCCTCAAGCTATCAAGTAATGACTGTCAAGGCCTTACCTGTGTGTGATGAGGCGATTTTTGAGTCGACTCAAAAATCGACTCAAAAATTGAGTCGACTCAAAAATCGCCTCAAGCTATCAAGTAATGACTGTCAAGGCCATACCTGTCTCATGTTACCAAGGAACCCCGTGGTGTTGTATTGAACCAGCCGCCCAATCACATCAGCCTGCTGTAGAAGCGCCGCTCGGTTCGCCTCGAATCGCTTCTCCCCCTTGCGCCGGTGCTGCTGCCGCCGCACGCGGAACACCGCCTGAATGTCCTGCATCTGGTAGCCCCTGGAGGGCAGGTGCCCTGGGAACTGTGCGTTGGCCCAGCCCTCCTGTTGTTGATGGGGAGGGAAGGTTGGGTTGGATTGTGAGTGAAGCATGGCGAGTGTGTGAGGGCGCTGCCCGAATGTCCTGCATCTGGTTACCGCGGGAGGGCAGGTGCCCTGGGAATTGTGCATTTGCCCAGCCCTCCTGTTGTTGTTGTTGATGGGGAGCGCAGGTTGAGTTGGAGAGTGAGGGAAGCATGGGGAGTGTGTGAGAACACCACCTGTATGTCCTGCATCTGGTAGCCCTTGGAGGGCAGGTGCCCTGGGAATTGTGCATTGGCCCAGCCTTCCTGTCGGGGTGGAAGGGGAGGTGTGGGTTGAGTAGTGTGGGAAGCATGAAGCATACGGACACCGCCTGAATGTCCTGCATCTGATAGCCCCTGGACGGTAGGTGGCCCGGGAATTGTGCGTTGGCCCAGCCTTCCTGGTAGGTGGGGGATGGGATGGGTGGATTCCTTAATGAGTGAGCGAGGGAGGCATGGGGAGCACAGGAACACCGCCTGAATGTCCTGCATCTGATAACCTCTGGAAGGAAGATGGCCCGGGAATTGTGCGTTGGCCCAACCCTCCTGTTAGGGGGGAAGGGGGGGGGGGGGGAGTGGCATGATAATGAGGAAAGGGGCGCATGGGGGCGCATGGGGTGGGGTGGGGAGTGTGAGAGGTGTGCAGGCACTGCCTTGATGTCCTGCATTTGATAGCTCCTGGAGGGTAGGTGGCCAGACGAGGGAACTTGTTGTCTAGGGAGACGTTATCTTGCATAGGTATCTTGCATAGGTATCTTGCATAGGTATCCTGCATAGGTATCTTGCATAGGTATCTTGCGTTGACAACAGATCTTGGCAAAGGAATCATCATCTTGCCTTACAGAGGGAGACACGAATCTTGCCTTACAGAGGGAGACACGAATCTTGCCTTACAGAGGGAGACACGAATCTTGCCTTACAGAGGGAGACACGAATCTTGCCTTACAGAGGGAGACACGAATCTTGCCTTACAGAGGGAGACACGAATCTTGCCTTACAGAGGGAGACACGAATCTTGCCTTACAGAGGGAGACACGAATCTTGCCTTACAGAGGGAGACACGAATCTTGCCTTACAGAGGGAGACACGAATCTTGCCTTACAGAGGGAGACACGGACCTTGCCTTGAACACGCGGTTGAGAAGAGAGAGGGGCGAGTGCGGGAAGGGCACACAGGCAGTGAGATGGCGTGGTCAGACACGACACTAATCTTGCCTTGAAGACCCGATTGAAATGGTCGTCGAGGCTGAAGTGAGAGAAGGGGGAGTTGACGTTGACTGCCATGTATGCTGCTATCTCTCGCTGGGATGGTTGGGGTGGGGAAAAGGCGGGTGAGAGGGGGGTTGTGGAAGAGGAGAGGGAGGAGAATGGGAGGGCCGGGAGAGAGAAGTGAGAGAAGGGCGAGTTGACGTTGACTGCCATGTATGCTGCAATTGTTAGAAATCCTATGTTCTAGCATGCTAACACTTGTGACTGTACACCAGTTGTGGTGTACAGTTGGGTTGGGACTACACCCAACTTTGGGTGTAGTCTTGCATTTTGGGGTGCCAATCCGACCCAATTGTGGTGGAGCCCCCAAATGCAACCCTATGGGCCATAGGGTACCCCACTTCACAAAGTGAGGCCAGCCCAACCCATTGGGCCATAGGTTAACCCCACTTCCCAAGTGTGGTCAACCCAACCCAGTGGGCCATAGGTCGGCCCACTCCCCCAATCCCACCTCCCTCCTTTTCCCTTCCAACCTTCTCTTCCAAACCTAAGTATGCTTGTTCTTCTCTCTAATGAAACTAATCATTCTTTTCAATTCTTCACAGCAATCTCTCTCTGGGATGGGAGGGGAAAGGAGGGTGGGGTGGGGTGGGGGGATGGGTGGGAGGGGAAGGGGAGAAGAGAAAGGGAAGAGGGGGCAAAATGGGAGAGGGGGCTTGTGAAACGAGCACATCTTGCCATGGCATGGCATGGCATGGCATGGCAGGCATGTGCATGGCCCATGTGCAGTTGAGTAATATGTGTGTCTGTTGCAGCATAGCTGGCAGGGCATTAGTGTTTGAATGCTATGGTGAGAATATGAAGCCACTCCTCCTTCCCAAGGAGCTTATCCCTTCCAAGGAGCTTATCAAAATAAGGCACTTTTATGGATTCACTCGAAGAATGGCACGTGGCCAAAGGAAGGGAGCAGGAACCTTCACAACGCACATGGTAGAAGGCGAGGTACCGACCTGGTAGGAGGCTCTGTAGGAAGCATCCAGGAACCTTCTCAACTCACCTGGTAGAATGCGAGGTACTGAAACCTCTCGTCTCCAGATGGCTGCAGCGAGAGAATGCTGTCGTAGAGCCTCACCTGGTAGGGGGAGGAGGAAGAAACGGGAGGGAACATTGGCAGGCGAGGAGGGGGGTGAGGAGATAGCTGACTTGACTACGAATGGAGGTCAAGGTACTGAAACCTCTCGTCTCCGGACAGCTGCAGCGAGAGAATGCTGTCGTAGGGCCTCACCTGGAGGGAGGAGTTGAGGGGGGAGGGGGGGAGTGAGGAGAGGCGAGACTGAGAGCCGAGTAAGAGATCAGCCTTGGATGATGGCTGCAGCGAGAGAATGCTGTCGTAGAGCCTCACCTTCAGAGAGGAAAAAAGAAGGGGTGGGGAAATGGCTGATGAGAAGAGGGATGAGGGGATTGTTGAGTTGACTGAGGCTGTAGTACAAGAAGTCAACACAAGTCAACAAGTCAATGTGAGCCAACTCACGGCTTGGGAAAATTTCCCTGTGATATGGTAGCAGGAGGCCTCAAAGTATCGCAAATCCACGTTGCCTGGGTGGTGCTTCAAGCTCTCCTGTACTTCTAGCAGTCAACACAAGTCAACACAAGACAATACAAGTCAACGCGAGTCAACTCAGGTCAACTCACAGCCTGCGAGAAGTCCCCCATGGCGTGGTAGCAGGAAGCCTCAAAGCAGACAGCTTTGAGGAGTCAAATGCAGTCAAAAGAAGTCAACTCGAGTCAACTCACAGCCTGTGAGAAGTCCCCCGTGGCGTGGTAGTAGCAGGAGGCCTCAAAGCAGACAGCTTTGAGGAGTCAACTGCAGTCAAAAGAAGTCAACTCGAGTCAACTCACAGCCTGCGAGAAGTCCCCTATGGCGTGGTAGCAGGAGGCCTCAAAGGAGACACCTTTGAGGAGTCAACTGCAGTCAACACAAGTCAATGCAAGTCAACTCACGGCCTGCCAGAAGTCCCCCGTGGCATGGTAGCAGGAGGCCTCAAAGTGAAATAAAATAAGGGTTCGACCGCAGTCAACAGCAGTCAACGCAAGTCAACACAAGTCAACTCAAGTCAACTCACGGCCTGGGAGAAGTCCCCCGTGGCATGGTAGCAGGAGGCCTCAAAGTATCGCAGCTCCACGTTGTTTGGGTGGTGCTTCAGCCCCTCCTGCAGCAGCCGAATCACCCCTCTGCCATGGTGGGAGAGGAAGAGAGAGACAAGATGCATGGTGGTGGGTGGGTGGTGGTGGTAGCCACAATACAAGTGTAGCTCCACGTTGCTTGGGTGGTGCTTCAGCCCCTCCTGTAGTAGCTGGATCGCCCCCCTACAATGGTGGGAGCAAGGGGACGAGAAAGAGATTTACTTGGTCGATCAGGTCTAAAAGGACAGCAAGAGGGAACACAAAAGAACAAAATTGGAGTGGGAGCAAGGGGAAGGGAAAGCGTTAAGCGTTTTGTCAGTGTTGGTAAGGGTTTAGGGGCAGCAAGAGGCAGCACAACATCATATCAGGGTCGAGCTTCAGCCCTTCTTGCAGCAGACAGATCACCCTGCTGCCATGCAACATAGCAGAGCAGTGCCCATCCCTGCCAGTCCGTTCAGATAAACTTGAATACATATCAACCCAGTGCTTCCCGGTGATGCCGCCCAGTGCCCTGCCGCCCAGTGCTGCCGCCCAGTGCCCTGCCGTCCAGTGCTGCCGCCCACTGCTGCCACCCAGTGCTGGCGTCTCACCTGTGGTCGCCCACGCTGTGCCTCAGCTTTGCCCAGAGTCGGTACGCCAGCAGGAAGCTGCTTGCGGTGACATGGGAATGGGGAGACATGGAAGGCATGGGGTTTATGGAGAATGAGGCATGGCATGGGAGGGTATGGGGTATGGGGGGGAGGTGGTAGTGGGGTGGGGGGAGGGGGTGGTGGTATGCTGAAGCGCCTGGGCCAAGAACTTGTGTGTGAGTAGGAATCTGCAATGTTGGGAAAGCATGTGCCCCACCCACTAACCCGCTATCCGCCTCGAGAGCTCACTTATAGCATCGCTTCGACTCGTTGAACATGGCAAATTAATTAATCTCCTTAATCGTCTGTCCCCAGTTTGTCCAACTCCCTTCCTGCACTGCACCACCCCGCAACCATCCCATCCCATCCCATCCCCCATATAATAAGCTGCTTTACTAACTCACCCACTGTCCACCTCAAGGGCGCATTTATAGCATCGCTCCCACTCATTGAACATGGCGATCTCTTTCATCGTCTGTTTGGCCCCAGCCCAGTTCGTCCACCCCTCATTCCCATGCAGCACCCCCCAACCCATCTATCCCTCATATAAGCTGCTCCACTCACTCACCCACTTTCCACACCCAGGGCACGCTTATAGCATCGCTACGACTCGTTGAACATGGCGATCTCCTTCATCGTCTGTCTGGCCCCAGTTGGTCCTTCCCTCCATGTCCATACCCTGCACCCAAGCCAGCCCCTCTATCCCCTATATAAGCTGCTCCACGCACTCACCCGTTATCCACCCCCAGGGCACGTTTATAGCATCGCTCCGACTCGTTGAACATGGCGATCTCCTTCATTGTCTGCCCCCAGTTGGTCCACCCCTCCTTCACATCGGGATTCATGGCCATTGCCGTCTCGTAGCTCTTCACTGCTTCAAACGGCGCCCCTGTTGCTGTCAGCGCAAGACCCTGGAGGCAAGGGGAAGGAATACCGAGGAGTTGAGAGTGGTGAGACGGGAAGTGAGTCACCTGGAAGGGGCCTGTTCTCTCCTTCGTTCACTTGATTCATGGCCATGGCCGTCTCGTAGCTCTTCACTGCGCCAAATGGTGCCCCTGTGGCTGTCAGCGCCAGGCCCTGGAGGCAATGGGACGGGTACAAGGGATGCGGGGGAGTTGAGAGCGGTGAGATGAGAAGAAGGTATATTTTTCAGAGGTGCCTGCTGCACCCCTTCACGTCGGCATTCATGGCCATGGCCGTCTCGTAGCTCTTCACTGCTTTGAACGGCGCCCCTGTTGCTGTCAGCGCCAGGCCCTGGAGGCAAGGGGATGGGTACAAGGGAGTTGAGAGCGGTGAGAAGGGAAGTGGGTCACTTTGGAGGTGAATGCCCTCCTTCACGTCGGCATTCATGGCCATGGCCGTCTCGTAGCTCTTCATTGCTTTGAACGGCGCCCCTGTTGCTGTGAGTGCTAGACTCTGGAGGAAAGGGGAAGAAATACGAGGGGGTTGAGAGAGCAGTGAAGTGAGTGGTTCAATTTGAAGCCTCCTCGGTAACGAGTGTACATGGATGGAAGCGATGGAAAACTCAGGCATTTGCAAGATAAGCAATTGAACCTCACGAGGAAGAGGTGCGGCTCGAAGGGACGGGGGCTTAGTTATTCAGGATTCAGGGTTTTAACGTTCATGTTTAGGCCTCTCCCTTCAAGTCGGGTTTGAAGAGCTGGCTGGCCTGGCCCTCGCAGCATAGAGGGGAGGCCTGGCAGCGAGCTCTTATAAAGGCGCCACAAAATTTGACTTACGAATAAGAAGTGGGGCTTGAAAAGCTGGCTTTTGAGGCGCCTCAGAAATAGACTTATGAGGAAGAGCTGGGAGGCTGAGATGTTCAGGGTCTAGGGTCTAATGATTGAGGATGTGATCTTACGAGGAAAAGGTGGGGTTTGAAGAGCTGGGGAGCCATCGCTCTGGCAGCATAGAGGTCTGGCAGCGCGCTCGCATAGGCGTTGGCGTTCACGTATGCCGCTCCTGGTTTGTGAGGGAGAAGGGTGGGGGTAAGAGGTCAACATGGGATAGGTGGGGTTGGCATACATGGCATGTTGACCCAACCTGGCAACATAGAGGTCAGGCAGTGCGCTCGCATAGGCATTGGCATTCACATATGCCGCTCCTGGTTGGTGGGGGAGGGGATGTGGGGCGGTAAGAACATGAAGGGAGTTATCATGGGGCGCATTCTCTTCTTGGTATGCCAACCCAACCCCAACCTGCCTGGCCGGCAGCATAGAAATCCGGCAGCGCGCTCGCATAGGCGTTGGCATTCGCGTATGCCACTCCTGGTTGGTGGGGGAGGACAAGGGTGGGGACAGGAGGTTGGGATAGGCTGGATCGGCAAACTCGGCATGTTGACCCAGCCTGGCAGCATAGAGGTCCGGCAGTGCGCTTGAATAGGTGTTGGCGTTCACATATGCCGCTCCTGGTTTGTGGGGGAGGGGAGCGGCAGAACGGGATGGGAAGAGATGGGTGGTAAGCATAGGGTGGTAAGCATAGGGTGGTAAGCATAGGGTGGTAAGCATAGGGTGGTAAGCATAGGGTGGTAAGCATAGCCCGGGTTCGGTTTTGTGGGTATGCTGGCCCTATCTGGCAGCGTAGAGAGAGATCACGCACAGCGCTCGCATAAGCATTGGCATTCACATATGCCATCTCAGCTTCTCACCTCTCTCTACCCTAAACCCTACTCTACCCCCCTCACCTCGTTCCTGTCTGGCTGCAGCATCGTTTGGATCCATTTCAATCACAGCCGTCCAGTCAGCAATGGCCTGCAAGATTGGGGATGGTGGTGTGGGTGCTTCTATTGAAATCGTCAAAATCCATTCAACCAGGGCATGCAGGAATGGCTTGAGGGCGTCTGTGTGTGTGACCATGAGAGAATGTGACCTGGAGTTGTCACAAAAATATACATGCAAGGTACAGTACAGTGCAGTACAGTACAGTTATTCCTTGCATTGAACGCATGGGAGACTTTAAAAAGTCCCTGTCACATCCCTGCCAATCACAGAAAACAAAGAGTCGGCACATATACTCACGGTCCACAACTGGCATACCTCCTTGTGTCGGCCCAAAATCCCAAGCACCGACGCTCGTTGCCTCAGAATCTGCCCTGCCTTGGGAGCCTGCTCTAGAGCCTATGGGAGGTGGGGAGGGGGGCGGAGCAGAAGTAAAGGGGTCGAAAGAAGTTGTTTGAGTCAACTACGACCAGCCCATACTCTCAAACACCAACGCTCATTGCCTGCGAATCTGCCCCTAAATTGCGGTGGGGAGTGCTGCTGTAGAGCATTCGGGTGGAAGTGGCTGGCTGGCAGCCCCCCCCACACAAATACATCTTGGTCGCTGCGTGCTTCATTGCACTGCACATATCCACTTAGCAGTAGCAGCCTAGCAGCCTATTAGCACTCAGCACTGACACTCTTCCCCCCACCACATACCTTGTTGAAATCACTGAGTGCTTCCTCGTAATGCTCTGCAAAGGCATGCGCCATGCCACGCCACGCCAGCAGCACCACCGTCTCTTGCGCTCCACTCTCCTGCAACTGCAGTGTGAGAGGGAGGGGGGTGAAGGGGACAGTGATGGCAGAGGAAGGCGTGATGGAGGGGGGAGGTGAGGATTGCGAGAGGGGGCAGCACCATGGTCTCCTGTGTTCCACTCTCCTGCAGCGGCAGGCGAGAGGGAGGGGCGTGAGGTGTGTGCGCATGTTGATGAGAGGAGAGGGGAAGAGGGGAGCGTGATGAGGGGAGCATGATTGGGGCAGGGAAGGGGAAAGGAGTGAGTAGAAGAGAGGAGGATGGGAGTGGGGGATGGGTGGAGGTGAATGCATGTAATGGATGCATGTGGGATGACATGGGATGGGCATGGGATGACATGGGATGGGCATGGGATGACATGGGATGGGCATGGGATGACATGGGATGGGCATGGGATGACCCATTCTACCTCATACCATGCCCATGACGAGGTAGAATGGGTCGCAAGAGGAACTCGGCATGACGTGTGTGTGGCATGGTTCTGAAAAATGGAGTATACAAAGCATGACATGACACGACAGAGGAAAGCACAGCAAAACACGACACAGCAGAGCACCGCACAGCACGGCACGGCACCGCACCGCACTGCACCGCACAGCACAACACAGCACTGCACCGCACCGCACGGCACCGCACAGCACCAGACAGCACAGAACGGGGTACCTTGGCAAAGATGGGGAAGGCGTTCTTATGGTCGCCCATTTGCACCTGCCATGGGGGAACGAGGCACGGCACAGAGGCGGGTGGATATCAAGTCGAGTACTATATGATGGGGGAAGCAGCTGCTGTGGTCGCTCAGGGAGTATGTGACAGTTTATGGAGTTACAATAACGTATAAGAAGACGTGCAATGCGGAGGAGGAGATTGAAAAAAAAAAAAAAAAAAAAGGTGTGAGGGATAAAAAATGGGACACCAGTAAGCGGGAGGAGGAGGCAGAGTATACACACACTCCCATCCCATGGAAGCATCAGTTCAACCCCATCGCATCACATCAGTCCACCCCCATCTCATCATACCAATGCATCCCCATCTCATCATACCAGCCTAATAGCCGTTTCCAGAGCAGATGCTACATCAAACGTTGGATCCTCCTTCCCTCCCCCTCCCCTCCCACCACCTCGTCTACCCTCCTCCCTCACACCAGTCCCCTGACCTCCCTTCCATCGCTCACTCCTCTCCTCCTCACCCCTTGTCTTCCTTCTCTCCTCACTCCTCTCCTCCCGCCCCTGCCGCCCACGCCGTCCCTGCCTCCCCTGCTGCCCTGCAGACGCCTCCTCTTCCTGCTTTCTCCTCTCCCTCTCCCTCTCCTGTTCTTCCCTCCTCTGGCTTCTCCTCCCCCTCCTTGATCGCCCACTCTCCTCACCCACACTCCTCTCTTCCTCCACAGCCCCTCTCCTACCCTCCTCCCCCCTTCCCTCCCTCCCACCACCCCTGGCTTTGGTGCCCACTTCCTCCCCACTGGATGGCATCGTTTGTCTGCTAGCCCTTCGGGCGGCTCTATCAGCACGCCTGCTTCGTTCCCGGCTAAACTCAACACACAGGGCAGCTTCGTTGCCAGCAGCAGCAGCGGCGGCAGCGAGGGCAGCCGGGGAGGGGAAGCCCTCGCTATTATCACCCTCGCCATCCTCGTTATAGGCTTCACCGCCAGAGGTGGGGCGGCTTCGGAGAGGGGAGGTTGAGCCAGCAGCGGATGCGCGGAGGAAGGACGTGGCAGGTGGTAGTGCAAGGAGGGAGACGTCTGGGGGAGGGTTAGATGATGGAAGGAGAGGGAAAGAGAGTGGGATGGAAGGGATGCATTGGAGACAGAATTACTGTGCTCAAGGAGAGACGATGAAGGGAGAGATGAGAGATCAAGAGGAAAAAACGGGTCTGTTTCTTGTACGATGAGGAGGAGACAAGCATTTCTCGTGTAGAGGGGAAGAAGGCAGAGTGCTTGTGCAAGAGGGGAGAAAGAAGGCTGTGGGGTGTATGGGTGTGTGATTGCAGAGAGCGAGGCTCTGCATTGCTCTCTGCTCGGACCCTCCCTCTTTGTCTCTCTCTTCCCTCTCCCACTCTCCCACTCGGTTTGCCGCAAAACAGACTCCTTTCTCTCCCGTCCCGTCCCATCCCGTCCCCTCCCGTCCCCTCCCGTCCCCTCCCGTCCCCTCCCATCCCCTCCCATCCCCTCCCGTCAATCCCGTTCTGTCCCCTACCCTTCCTTAATTCCCTCCCCTCTCACCCGATTTGAGGAAGGGCGAGGGACACGTGGCACGCCACGGGCTGCCCTGCAGCAGCTGCTCACTCCACTGCTCCGACAGAAACGACGGATCTCGGTCAATCACAGGCAGCCAACTGGCGGAAAGGGAATACGGGAAGCGGAGAGGGGAGGGAAAGAGGGGAGGGAAAGAGGGGAGGGGAGGGGGACGGCGAAAAGGGGTCGCGGGACAAGATTGGGAAAGTCATGATGATGTGAGATGGGTCGGCAGGCAGAATTGGTGAGATGGGTCGGCAGGCAGAATTGGTGAGATGGGTCGGCAGAATTGGGTTACAACCTACATTACAAGTGTGGTTTGGGTAATAACAAGAGTCTGTTCTTCTCCTCTATTCGTTATTCCACGATGGAACGGCAGAACGATGTGAAGACGGCAAGATGCGACACGTCCTGGTTGACCTACGACATGGCATGCCCACATTGGGCGAACCAACTCCACTGGTGCGAAGCGATTGAGTCCAGATACGATGTATCGGTCCACGCGCGACGTGACATTTGCGGTTTGATACCCTCGCTGGCTTGATCTTTCGGGTTTGACTTGGTTGACTTTCTTGAACCGTTTCTGAGCTACTCGAATATTCTTCAACGCATTGCCCTATTGAGCCTCCCCACCAACATTCGTGAACACACGCGATAAGAATACCAGACCGAGCCTAACGGAGTAGCTAATATAGGGGATAACCTGTGCGAAACCTACCCACCTCAACTGGCCGGCGACACTCTGAAAGTCGCGCATTGTCGCAGCGAGTGCGCTCGTCGCGCGAATAGACACCCTTTCGCCGCATTCTGCGGGAGACGACGACACGACGACTGTCCGTGCGACAGGCACGGAGCCTGCGACGGTATCGGCGGGCGAAGGCGACGCTCTGTACAAGTGGCAGAGCGTGAGGTTGAGCGAGAGACAGATGTACGACGCCGCTGCTGTCGCGATAGAGACGCCCATTGCTGGCGTCGTAAATGGCAGGACTGATTAGTAACAGAGCTCAGCGCATCCTTATATTTTTATCCTGCTGCTCCAACCAACACGGGACTTGAATCATGTGCAACAAATGGTGATGGTCTAGTCTATTTAGCTGTACCTGGAGAGTGATGGTGGGTTCCCTCAGATGTCTACAGTGAAAAAGGCCTCATGTGCTAAGAAATGGGGGAAACTTGGGGTATGATGCGCTATAAGTGATATCGGGCTGTCCTGTAGTGTACCGTTTCAAAGACTCGACATCCTCCAAAGGATTACACCCTGTTTCTCATCTGCTCCTGACCTCAGAACGGCTTGGTATGAGCACACCGATACTTCACACAAACCAGCAATATAGGATTTCAGCTACACACCGCCACTGTAAAAAGAAACCGCGTTGAAACCCTTCAAATCTGGTCGTTCCTCAAAACTGGGATTCTGTAGCCAAATTCTGGTTCGGAGACAGTAACCCGTACTTCGCTAAAGGAACACCTCCTCGCTAAGCTCTTCCTTCTTGTCATCATGCTCACAGTGATTTCCTCTAGTTTTTCTTTCAATTCACAGCAAAACACATATGCTCCTCCAATCATGTCCGTTCCAACACGAGTTCTTTCATCACAGCGCAATACCGATAATCGCTGGCGCCAGCGACGCGAAATGCTGTCATGCCACACGTGCAAGCCGTGATTTTCTCGTCGAACCAGGGATAGTACAGCACCTATCGCATATGCTTGTGACGCGGCTTGCTGTCCTTCTCAGAAATGGCACATCGAAGCGCGACAAGCGAGCGGTTCTTATTTAAAAGAGCAATACCTGATTCTCGATATTTCACACTGCAGCCAATCCTTCACAAACTCTTGCGTCTCTTCTTATTCTCCACCCTCAGCTAGCAGAAGTATCGACCCTTTCGGCATTGTTGATTAGATTTCCTTCTTTCATGGCATCCCGCGCGCTCCTCCTCCCCCTCATCCTGCTCGCTCTGCTCCTCGCTGCTGAAGGTACGCACGGCTTCGGTCACAAGCAATGCAAGCGCAAACCAGATTTCTTGTCATACTTACGTAGTGATTTGTGTATTCTAACGCAATTTCTCCCCATGTCTAGCAGGGGCTCGTATCAGGCATGTCCCGCGCATGAGGAGGGGTATCGAGAATCAGACATGCCCGGATCCGCACGGCGCTAAAACAAGCCTCAAGACGTGCGCGTTACACTCTGTGTCCGACAAACGCGCGGAGTGGCAGGACGGCTGTCAGACTCGGATGGTCGCAGTTGGGACAGGGCCGTTGGTTCCGATGTTGTCACATGTGACACCGAAACTGACACATGCAGCGCGAAATGCACCAAAGAGCATGGTCCCATACCTCAAAGCAGACTCCAGGATGTAACCAACTATTCCACACAGTCACATCAGTGGTGCGGACTCTGGACCACTGAATGGTCTGCTGGTGCTTCATCTCATCAGGAGAATTTTGCTGGTTATGATGGTGCAAAGTGATACGGTAGGAGACTTCCAGCTTTATTGATATCCGGATCTCATAAATCTTCACTCCATGCAACATCTTGAGGGATAGAAAAAAAAGGTTAAATGGTTGATTATTGAACATCATACACTGTACAAGAAGAGGCTTGTAAGAGGTATCACCACATCACATTGTGGACACAAGGGCCAAGAAGAACTCAATAGTAATCTACTCAATCAGGTCAATGAAGAGCCGGTCTTCAAAGAAACAGCTGTCACGGCGGAACCCAGGCAGCCTCAACAAATGCTCTGGAATCTTCACACCCACAGATTTCTCATCTATGCACAGCTCGGGCAGCCCAGCCAATGCTGTCAATGAGTCGGGCAGGTACAGCAGATTCGGGCAGTTCTGGACAACAAAAGTCTGGAGGAATTTCAGCTGCCCGACGCCAGCCGGGAGAGCCTGAATGGCTGGACAGAACGCCACCACCAGCCTCTGCAGAAACTGAAGGCTGCCCAGAGACTCGGGCAGCTTGGAAAGCTTCGAGCAGCCAATCAGATCCAACCGCCGAAGACTAACCAGCTGGGAAATCTCCTCTGGAAGCTCAGCTATCCCGGCAGGCTTGGTTTTCTTCTCCGGTGTGGGTGGCAAGTCAGCCGGCAGAATCAGCATGAGGGAAGAGTTTATCCCACCGCCTGTCTCTGTGGTAACCGCATCGCTGCCTGTGCCCATACCAACTGCGCTGCTCCCTGCAGCGAGACCAGAGAGCGATGCCTGAGACGCTGATCGGGAGCCCAGGCGGCTGGGAGAATTCACTGGCAGGTCTGAGAATGACTCCCGGTTTCTGGTCTCGGTGAAGTCAAGGACGAGGCTTTCGAGGAGGCGGAGAGAGAAGAAGGCGGGCGGGAGGGCGGTGAGGGAGACGTTGGCTCGTAGGACCAGCTGGCGCAGATTGCACATGGCTGATGGGGTGATGCCCATGGATGCCGGCAGGGCGAGCAGACCACTCGGACCATCATCATCCTCATCCTCCTCATCATCGTCAACATTGTCATGACCATAACTATTGTGATTTTCTTCGTCCCCGTTTCTGCCGGTGCTTGCGCCATCGTCGCTGGCAGCGGTGTCGTCAGTGCCGTTCATGCTCATATGCATGTCCAAGGCCGTTGAATGGCTCACTATGCTCATCCCATCCTCCTCCCCATCCTCCTCCTCACCCTCCTCCCCATCCTCATCCTCCTCATCCTCATCATCATCCACCTTGTTATCCACAAGAAGCAGCTGGAGGCTGCCCGAGCTGCCCAGAGATTCGGGCAACGTGGCGAGAGAATAGCAGCCAATGAGCTTCAGCGAGTAGAGGTACGGAAGCTGCCCCAGAGATTCGGGCAGGGAGGTGAGGGCGAAGCAGTTGCGGAGCTCCAATCGCACTAGACTTGTCAGCTGCCCGAAGGAGTTGGGCAGGGATAAAAGTCCGCAAGCTTCGGACTCCTCTGCAAAGCCCTTGTTGTCGAAGACAAATTCTTCTAGCTGATAAAGCTGCCCTAAAGATTCGGGCGGATCCAGCATCAACGGGCAGCCGACAATCTTCAGGAACCGCAGGGAGCAGAGCTGACCGAAAGATTGAGGAAGCTCTTTTAGGCTGCCCAGCCAAGTTTCACTTGCTGCCATGTTGATCACCATCTCCTCCAATTCTTTCAGCTGCCCGATGCTCTCGGGCAGGCTGCGAACTGACATGCACCAGCACATCTTGAACCACTTCAGGCGCTTAAGCTGCCCGATAGTTTCGGGCAGCTGGCGTAGACAATCCAGACTCAGCAGCTCCAGCTCCTCCAATCCAGTCAGCTGCCCAATTTCCTCGGGCAGCGTAGGGAGCTGCAAGCAGGAGTCCAGCACGAGGCGGCGAAGATTCGAAAGCTGACTGAGGGCAGGTGGAAGAGAACGCAAACCGAGCTTCGAAGACTGATTCATTATAAGCAGCTCCTCTAAGAGCGAGAGGCGGGCGATGGAGGCCGGGAGGGAGCGTATGAATCGGCCGGTGCAGAGCGAGAGAGAGCGGAGAGAGGGGAGGGAGGTGAAGAGGGTGGTGAGGCCTGCTGGTGTTCTTGCAGAGGTGCGCTCCTGTGGGTGATGGGGGGAGAGGGAGAGGAGGGGAGATGGGGCAGATATGAGAATTGGGGAGCTAAAAGGAACCTCTATAAAATTAGGACAAACAAAGAAGGTTCTTAAATCGTTTCTGAACAGCACAGATAGTCAAAGTTTTCCATCCAAACTCACAAAAAAAACGCATAGCAGTCTAACAGATGTCTATTACACCAACTCACATTGTAACCAGGGAAGACATCAATGTGCAGAGCCTGCAGCTCCAATCTGGATGAAGCAATCATCTCGAAAACATCGTCCCCTTCAACCTCCAGGCTATTCCAGGGCAGGTACAGCAATGTCAGGTTCGGGTAACAGGCTAGGTACCGAGCCAGCAGAGGCTTGGGGAGCAGGCGGTTCGGAAGGAGGTAGAGCGCTTGCAGCGCGAGGCAGGAGAGGGCAGCGAAGCGCCGGGATAGGCCGAGACACGCCGCCCAGTCGAGCGGGTCGGTGAGTCGAGAGAGGATCTGGACGATGAACTCGTCTGGCAGATCTGATAGCTGGGTGGCTCTTGAGTCATCTGGTGGGAAAGTTGAAAGGAGGGAGAGAAGGGAGGACAAGGTATCGTAAGGAGGCGGATGTTAATTAAGAAGAATTTGGAGACGTCCCAAAAACCGAAGGGAGGAATGAAAAGTCTGTGCCGGAACTGCAGCCAGAGTTGCAAATAAATGAAGACCTTCCGAACAGAAACATTAGCATACCAAGGGCTTCATACAGCTGCCTCTGCTGCTCCATCTTGGCACACAGGTGAGCCCATCTGGTGGGAGACTCCAACGCCCCCAGCAGCTCCCTAATGGGACTCTGCTCCCCCCACTCCTCCACCCTCCCTCTCGCCTCTGCACCCGTGTTGCTGTTTGCAGCTGCAACCTCTGCCTCTGCTGCCTCTTTTTCTGCTCCAACCCCCCCAACAACTTTCCCTTCTACCACAGCTGGTCCGTCCCTGCTCCTAGCCTCCTCTTCGTTCTCCATCCCTCCCTCCTCTTCTCCCTCTGCTATCCCTCTGTATATCGAATGCTGCTGCCCACCTGCCATCACCCCACCAGTCGCCATTACCCCAGTTGCAACGCTTCTCGCCCTCTTCCATCCCTCCTGCCGGCACGCCTCCCCATGCATTTCTCCAATCGCCCCCACCGACTTCCCTGCCGTCCCCCCCGCCACATCAACTGCACCAAACACCAATGCTCCATTCCCCAACACCCCAGCCACATCACCCACCCCTCCCTCCCTGCCTCCGTGCATTCCCGCTACAACCTCCGCCGCTACAGCCACCAGGGCAGCAGCGCCTGCACCCTCTTGCCTCCCTGCATTCAAACCGGGAGCAGCTGCTCCGGGCTGAGTCACTGCTTTCACAGAGAGCAGAATGTCCTTCCATGTCTTGCCCATGCTGCTGCCACCATTGCTGGTAGCAGTAACGCTGTTGCTGTCGCCACTGCCGCTGGCCTCGCTTGAAGGCACTGTTGCAGCTGCTGGCCATCCTGTCTGCATGCCCTCACTCGCTGGACCCTCCTCCTCTCGCTCCTCCTCTCCCTCCTCCGCATCGTCCTCATCCTCCCCTTCATCTTCCTCCTCTCTCTCCTCCTCGCTGTCTGCATCATCCCCCAGCATTTCCTCCTCGTGCCCTTCTCCATCTATGTCCCCACTGCCCTTCATTATAAGCACTTCCCCCGCACCTCCCACCATCCCTCCTGGTGATCCCACTCTTATCTGTCGATCCAACGACCGAGATTTGCTGTATCCCCCACTCCCTCCGCCATTCCCCAAACCCCCAACCCCTCCTGCTCCTCCTCCCCCTACCTCCCCCATGCCAGCACCTCTCCTCCCCGCCCCCTCGCGGAAATCCGAATCTCTCAACGAATCACGGAACTCGCCAAACCTCAGGTCCCTCACACCCCCACCGAACCTCACGCTGCTGCCGAACCTCGGCGGCAACCGTGGAGGCAGGCCTCGGGCCATGGGCGACTGGCTCGGGCTCACAGACGAGGTTCGGATGGGAAAGCCGCTAGGATAAGCCCCCGGAGAGGCGGAATAACGTGGGAGGTTCGGCGAAGGGGAGCGGCGGCGCTGAGGGGAAACTCCTGCTAGTGCTGCTGCTGCCACTGCTGCAGCATCAAAGGCTCGGAACCTGCTGGGGCTGAAGCTTCCACGGGGGCGAATGGGACTCACGAGATGGGTGGAGGGGCAGCGTGTGTAGCAGGGGAGATGGGCGGATGGGGAGTGAGGGATGGAGCGCGGTGACGGGGAGTAGGGGCGGTGGATGAGACGGGGGGAGGGAGCAGGGTAGTGCAAATGCTGCTGCTGCCGCTGCTGCTGCTGCTGGATGCTCTTGTCATTGCCGTACAGCGTGGTGGGTTCACCATTGCTATTAGATTGGCCTTGACTAACATTGTTACCAGAGGTAGCAGCAGCAGCGGTGGTGGAGGGGAGGTAGGTGCCTGGGAGGGACGAATCAGAGGAGCTGGCTGGGGGAGAAGACTGGGAGGACTGGAGAGGAGCAGCAGAGCTTGCAGCTGTCGCCACAGCAGCAGCAGAGGCAGCAAGAGCAGCCAGAGCCTTCACCCGCCCCTCTGCAACCTCGGAAGAGGCCAAGTTCTTTGGAGTATTGCCAACGGTTTCAGAACTGCAGTCAGCACCAGTGGAAGCAAGAGCAGCCAGAGCCTTCACACGGCCCTTACCAGCGTCCAGAGAGGAGTCCTTTGGAGCACTGTCAGCAGTTTCAGCACTGTTATTGGCAGCAGCAGAGGCAGCAAGCGCAGCAAGCTCTCTCACCCGCCCCTCTCCAACCTCCAGAGAGGCCAAGTCCTTTGAAGCACCGCCGGTGCTTTCAGCACTGTTGTTTGCAGCAGCAGAGGCAGCCAGAGCAGCAAGAGCCTTCACACGCCCCTCTGCAACATCAGGATTCGCCACACCTTTAGGCGTTGCACTGACAGAGTCAGCAGCTGCCACAGAAGCCACCACAGCAGCAAGAGCCTTCACACGCCCCTCTGCAACATCAGGATTCGCCACACCTTTAGGCGTTGCACTGACAGAGTCAGCAGCTGCCACAGAAGCCACCACAGCAGCAAGAGCCTTCACAAGCCCCTCTGCAACATCAGGATTCGCCACACCTTTAGGCGTTGCACTGACAGAGTCAGCAGCTGCCACAGAAGCCACCACAGCAGCAAGAGCCTTCACCCGTCCCTCTGCAACATCTAGAGCCGCTGCCTCTTCAAGGGGTGCACTGGTGGTATCAGCAGCAGCAGGAGCAGCCACAGAGGCAGCAAGAGCCTTCACCCGTCCCTCAGCAACGTCTCCAGTCACCACCACCTCTTTAGGGGGTGCACTGGTGGCGTCAGCAGCAGCAGTGGATGCCACCGCAGCAGCCAGCGCCTTCACACGCCCCCCAGCAATATCTAGACCCGGTGACTCTTTAGAGGATGCACTGGTGGTATCATCAGCAACAGGAGCAGCCACAGAGGCAGCAAGAGCCTTCACACGCCCCCCAGCAACATCTAGACCCGCTGACTCGTTAGAGGGTGCACTGGTGGCGCCAGCAGCACCCACAGACGCCACCACAGCAGCCAGAGCTTTCACATGCCCGCCAGCGATATCTACAGCCGCCGCCTCTTTGGGGGATGAACTGGTGGCGTCAGCAGGAGCAGCAGTTGACGCAACCACGGCAGCAAGAGCTTTCACATGCCCGCGAGGAACATTTATAGTTGCTGCCTCTTTAGGGGCTGCAGCTGTGGTGTCAGGAGTTGCAGACGCCACCACAGCAGCAAGAGCCTTTACACGCCCCTCTGCAACATTCAGAGTCGCCGGTTCCTTAGAGGGTGCACTGGTGGCGTCATCAGGAGCAGAAGAAGCCACCACAGCAGCCAGCGCTTTCAACCTCCCAGCAGAAACGTCTACAGTCGCAGCCTTGTTAGAGGGTGCACTGGTGGTATCAGCAGCAGCAGACGCCACCACAGCAGCAAGGGCCTTCACACGCCCCCCAGCAACACCTAACGCCACCGCCTCTTTAGGGGATGCAGTGGTGGTATCAGCAGCAGCAGCAGCAGCAGCAGCAGTAGGCGACAGCATAGCAGCAGCAGCAGCAGCAGCAGTAGGCGACAGCATAGCAGCAGCAAGGGCCTTGACACGCCCCTCACCCTCAGACACATTCAGCAGCAGGGGGTCTTTGGCAGCATCACTGCCTGCTTCCTCATCCGCTCCTCCTCCTGCCTCAGCTGGGCTCTCCTCAGCGGGAGCATCCTCAGCCTCCTCCATGTCCCAAGACTCCCCGCCCCTAACCTCCATATCTGTGTGCTCTGTCTCGTGCTCTACCTCCTCATTCTCCTCTTCCTCCTCACCTGGGCCCTCCTCAGCCTCCATGTCCCAAGTCTCCTCGCCCCTGACCTCCATATCCGTGTGCCCTGCTGCGTCCTCCTCCAGCTCCTCCTGCTCTACCTCCTCCTCCTCGTTGTTCTCATCATCCGCCTCAGCTGATTCCCCTTCACCTAGACCCTCCTCTGCCTCCTCCATCTTCCAAGTCTCCTCGCCCCCAACCTCTATATCTTCGTGCTCTAAGTCCTCCTGCTCCTCGTTCTCCTCGTTCTCCTCCTTCTCCTTCTCCTCCGTGTTCTCCTCATTCTCCGCCTCATTCTTCTCCTCCTCCTCATCCTCATTCTCTTTTTGCTCCAATCCATCCTCCTCCTCCTCCTCCTCCTCCTCTTCCTCGTCTCCCCCCTCTTCCCCTGCTTTCTCCTCCTCCTCCGCCTCTCCATACTCTTCCTCCTCCCCCTCCTCTTCTTCCTCTTCCTCCTCTTCTCCCTCCCCTTCCTCTGCTCCACCCTCACCCTCCTCATCATTATCATCCTCTTCCTCTCCCTCCTCCTCCACCTCCTCTTCCTCCTCTTCTTCCTCTTCCTCCTCTTCCTCCTCTTCCTCTTCCTCCTCACTACCACTACTATCCAGCAGCGAAGGCCGCTTTCTCTCCTTCACCATACTCCGACTCATTCCCAGGTTAGCACCACCCCCTCCCGCACGCCCCATGCTATCCCGAACCACCATGCTCCGGCTTCCCAGCCCAACACTCCCCCCTGTGAGCCCCATGATTTCGCGAGTCACTGCACTGGCCGGCACGTGCAGGCCCTGTGACGCCACCAGCGACAACATGCGTGACCGCTGTGACGGGGGGGAGGAGGGACAAGAGACACCAAGAGTGGGAGATAGAAGGGATGGTTAAGAGGGACGCGCAACACCAGCAACCCCCCTGTTAGCCCCATGATCTCTCGAGTCACAGCACTGGCCGGCACGTGCAGGCCCTGTGACGCCACCAGCGAGAGCATGCTTGAGCACTGCAAAGGGGGTGGAAGGAGTGGAGGATAAGAGCAAGAAGGAAAGGGGAAGGTTGTCCCAACATTGGTAAAATGTGGGGGTTCGGACTCCAGGTTATCTACAAGAGGAGCATGCGGCTCACCTTGCCCGGACTGTGAGCGTTGGCCTGGCGACCAGCAGCAGCAGCAGCAGCAGCAGTCATGGCAGGAAGGGCAATAAGAGCAAGGAAGTCAGAATAGAGTAAGCAGAAACAGGCGGCTCACCTTGCCCGGACTGTGAGGGTTGGCCTGGCGACCAGCAGCAGCAGCAGCAGCAGCAGCCATGGCAGGAAGCGCAACAGGACCCCCTGCGCCTGCTCCCCCAGCTTGCCCCACAGCACCTCCACCTCCTGTCCCACACGCGCCCGTCCCGCTCCCCTCACTCCCCCCTCCGCCTCCACCTCCGCCTCCTTCCCCCTCCCCCTCATCACGGATGCCCTGGCGGAAGCGCAGCTCCCCCAGCACCACATTGAACCGCTTCATGCTCGCCACCCGCAGCCGCAGCGTCCGCTGCTCCTCCGCGTTCCGCTCCTCCTGCTCCTGCCGCTTTATCTTCGCCTCCTCATCCTCCTCTTCTTCCTTCTCCTCTGGCTTGTTCCTCGGGCTGCTTTCCCTGCTGCTGCTGTTTGTGCTCTCTTTTTCGCTTGCCTCCTCCTCCTCTTCCTCTTCTTCCTCTTCCTGCTCCTCATATTCTTCATACTCCTCCTCGTGCTCATCCTCCTGCTCCTCCTGCTCCTGCTCCTCCTGTTCCTCCTCCTGCTCTTCCTCCTGTTGCTCCTCTTCCACCTCTTGTCCCTCTGCGCTTTCTCCCTCTTTTCCACCTGCTGCTCCTGCTCCTTCCTCTGCTAGCTCCTCGGATTTATCCTCGTCTGTGACTTCCTCTGTAACCTCTACAGTAACTTCCTCTTCAGTGTATTCCTCAGTTACCTCTACAGTCACTTCCTCGTATTCTCCTGTTTCTTCTACAGTCACCTCCTCATATTCACCCGTTTCTTCTACAGTCACTTCCTCATATTCTCCCATTTCCTCTACTTCCACAGTCACCTCCTCATACTCTCCCGTTTCCTCTACTTCCACAGTCACCTCCTCGTATTCTCCTGTTTCCTCTACTTCTACAGTCACTTCCTCATATTCCTCTATCACTTCCACTGTCACCTCTTCATACTCCTCCGTTTCCTCTACAGTCACCTCTTCATACTCTTCTGTCACTTCTACAGTCACCTCCTCGGTGGATTCCTCTCCTGCCTCACTCCCTCCTTCCTCCTCTTCCTCCTCTTCCTCTGCACCCTCCTCCCCCTCCGCGGCCTCCTCCCTTTCTGCACCCTCCTCTCCCCCTGCAGCACCCTCCTCTTTCTCTCCACCCTCCGCTCCCTCTGCCTCCTCATTGTCCTCTTCTTCCTCCGTTGCTTCCTTCGCTTCTTCCTCTTCTTTCTCATCCTCCTCATTTTCCTCCTCTCCTCCTTCTCCTCCCTCGTCCTCCTCCTTCTCTTCCACCCGTGCCTCATTCTCTTGCTCCTCCACCTCAGCAAGAGCTTCCGATGCCACGTCAGCTCCTGCTTCTGATGCCACCCCAGCAGGCAACTCCCCCACAGCATCAGCAAGCGGACCTTCTGCAACCACAGGTGCTCTCGTGCTTCCACAATCGTCACCTCCGTCAGTTTCAGAATCACTTCCCTCCTCCTCTGCCTTGGTAATGCCCTCCTCTCCGCTATCCAGCTCTCCCTGTTCCCGGCGCTCCATGACAGCAGGTGCAGCGGCAGCTACAGCCGCAGCAGCCACTGCTGTTGCGCCCGCAACGGCTGCTGCACTGGAAACGGCATCAGCAGAAGAAGCGCTATCAGTTGCCACGGCAGCAGTAGCAGAATCAGCAGTGCCAGCTGTATCAGCAGAAGCAGCAGCAGCACCGACGGGTTGTGCACGAGGAGACACAGCCAACTGCTGCTGTGGAGACCTAAGAGGAGGCACAGAGGGTTGCTCCGGCTGCTGCTGCTGCTGGAAGCGGTTGAGGAAGTCACTCCGCAGTCGCCCCACTGCTGCAGGTTGGGCAGCAGGAGAGGTGGCAGGCACAGGGGCCGGTGCTGCTGCTGCTGCTGCCGCTGCGCTTGCCATGCCTGGCCCCCAGGCTCGGATCGGTACAGGTTTGGGCGCAGGTTCGGAGTCGGACCAGTCAGAATCCGAGCCTGAGTCGGAGTCCTGATTGGGTCGCTTCATCCATGAGTCTGCTGCGCGAGGCTTGATGGTAACGGGAGGTGCAGTGCGGTGAGAAGGAGTGGAAGGCTGAGGGGAAGAGAGGGGCTGCAAGGAGGAAAGAGGCTGAGGGGAGGAGAGGGCGGGGGGGGAGGGGTCAACCATTGCTGGATGAGTGGACGGGTCAGGTAAAGATGGTGCATCTGCTGACACGTCAGCTGGCACAGGAGTGGATGGACCTGATGCCACATCAGCAGGCACGGGAGAGGATGGGCCTGATGCCACGTCAGCAGAAACCAGGTCGCCTCGTAACACCTCTCCACCTGACAATTCACCTGACTGCGCACCACCCTCTTCCTCCTCCACCCCCTGAGCCCCCTCTCCCTGTCCAACCTCATCCCTAGCAACAGCCGCCAGTGCTGCCGTTTCTGCCCCTGTCGACACTGCTGCTCCTCCTGCCTCTGCTGCTGCCCCAGCCACATCACCGGAACCACCAGGAACATCATCCTCAGCTGCAGCAGAAGCAGCAGCAGCAGCCGCCTTATCAGAGTCAATTGCACCAGCAGTAGTGGTCAGAAGTCGAGCAGGAGCATCAGTGAGAACCTGCTGCTGCTGCTGCTGCTGCTGCTGCTGCTGCGGCGGCTGTGGGGACCTAAGGGGTGGCACAGACGGTCGGTCCAGCTGCTGCTGCTGCTGCTGCTGGAAGCGGTTGAGGAAGTCACCCCGCAGCCGCCCCACGGGGGCAGTTTGTGAGGGAGGAGAGGCGGCAGGCACAGGTGCTACTGCCACCTCACCACTCCCCGCACCTGCTCTCCAGGCTCGGATGGGCACAGGCTTGGGCGCAGGCTCGGAGTCGGACCAGTCAGAGTCCGAGGCTGAGTCAGAGTCAGCCTGATTGGGTCGCCTCATCCACGATTCTGCAGCGCGGGGCTTGATGGTAACGGGAGGTGGGGGAATTTGAGGTGAAGAGAGGAGGGTGGGAGGCTGGGGGGAGGCGAGTGGGGGTGGAGAAGAGACAACCAAGATACCATCTCCCTTGATTTCTTCCCTAGCCTCCTCCTCTCTTTTTTCCTTCATCTCTTCCTTACCCTCTTCATTACCCTCTTCCTCTTGTTCTTCCTTACCCTCTTCATTACCCTCTTCCTCTTGTTCTTCCTTACCCTCTTCATTACCCTCTTCCTCTTGTTCTTCCTTACCCTCTTCATTACCCTCTTCCTCTTGTTCTTCCTTACCCTCTTCCTGCATCTCTTCCTGCATCTCTTCCTGCATCTCTTCCTGCATCTCTTCCTTCTCTATCCTCTCCTCCGTACCCTCTTCCAATCTCGCTTCCTCTTCTATTCTCTCCTCCTTACTCGCTTCCTCCACCTCACTACCCTTTTCCACTCGCTCATCCCCAGCCTCTTCTGCACTCTCCGCCTCACCCTCATCCACCCTCTCTTCCTCTTCCATCCTCACTTCCTTATTCGCTTCGACTCTCTGCTCACCATCTTCCACTCTTTCGTCCCTACCCTCTTCCACCTCTTCCTTATCCTCTTCCCCTCTCTCTTCCTTATCCTCTTCCAACTCTTCCTTATCCTCTTCCCCTCTCTCTTCCTTATCCTCTTCCACCCTCACTTCCTTATCCTCTTCCCCTCTCTCTTCCTTATCCTCTTCCACCCTCTCTTCCGTACCCTCTTCCACCCTCTCTTCCTTACCCTCTTCCACCCTCTCTTGCTCGTCCATCCTTGCTTCCTTACCCCCCACTCTCTCGATCGCACCCACTTCCTCTCCCTCTTCCTCTCTCGCTTCCATTCCCTCTTCCTCTGTTGCTTCCATTCCCTCTTCCTCGCTCACTTCCACTCTCCCTTCCTTAACCGCTTTGTCCTCCTCACTCACTGTCACCATCACTTCCTCTCCCTCATGATCTTCCGCTGCTAACAAAACCCCGTCCTTCACCTCCACTATTGTCGTACCCTCTCCCACTCTCTTCCCTTCTCCCTCCATCTGCTGCTGCTGCTGCTGCTGCTGTTGTGGAGATCCAAGAGGAGGCACAGAGGGACGGTCCTCCTCCTGCTGCTGCTGCTGGAAGCGGTTGAGGAAGTCACTCCGCAGTCGCCCCACCACTGCACTTTGGGCAGCAGGAGAGGTGGCAGGCGCAGGTGCAGCTGCCACTGCAGCCACAGCACTCCCCGCACCTGGCCTCCAGGCTCGGATCGGCACAGGCTGGGGCGCAGGCTCGGAATCGGACCAGTCAGAGTCAGACTCTGAATCAGACGAGTGGGTCTGCTGCCTCATCCAGGAATCTGGGGCACGTGGCTTGATGGTTATGGCCGTGGTGGGAGGTTCAGCTGGCGGGATGGCGATGGGAGCGTGGGAGAACGAGACTGGGAGAGGGGAAGGGAAAGCCGAGACATCATCTCCCTCTGTCTCCTCCGTAGCCTCTTCCTCTCTCTCTCCCTTCACTTCCACTTCTGTTTCTTCCTTAGCCCCTTCCTCTGTCTCTTTCTTCCCTTCCTCCTCCCTTTCTTCCTTAACCTCTTCCTCTGTTTCTTCCTTACTCTCTTCCGCCCTCTTCTCCATACCCTCTTCCTCCCTCTCCTCCTTACTCTCTTCCTCCCTCTCTTCCTCTTCCACCCTCTCTTCCTCTTCCACCCTCTCTTCCTCTTCCACCCTCTCTTCCTCTTCCACCCTCTCTTCCGCTTCCACTCTCTCTTCCTCTTCGATCCTCTCCTCCCTACTCGCTTCTTCTCTCTCCTTACCACCATCTTCCACAGTCACCTCCTCACCCTCTTCCACCTTCTCTTCCTTACCCTCCTCTTCCCTCTCTTCCTTCCTCTCTTCCTCAGACTCTTTCTCACTCGCTTGCTTACCTTCTTCCGCAATCTCTACCTCGCCCTCTTCCATCGTCTCTTCCTCCTCCATCCTTGCATCTTTGCCCACCACAATCCCAAGTTCAACCGCACCCATTTCCACTCCCTCCTCCTCTGTTGCTTCTACTCCCTCCTCCTTTGTTGCTTCCTCTTCCTCTTCCTCTTCCCTCGCTTCCTCTCCCTCTTCCTCTCTCGCTTCCTCTCCCTCTTCCTCTCTCACTTCCTCTCCCTCTTCCTCTGTCACCTCCACTCTCTCTTCATCTGTCACTTCCTCTCGCTCGTCCTCTCCCTTTTCCACTCTTTCTTCCTCTGTTGCTTCCACTCCCTCTTCCTTCACCACCCCCTCCTCCTCACCCTCTGCCATTGCCACTGCAGCTTCATCATCTCCTGCTGACACACCCCCTTCCTTCACCTCCATTATCGCCGTACCCTCTTCCTCTCCCTCCTTCTCTCCCTCCACCTGCTGCAGCTGCTGCCGCTGCTGCTGCTGCTGCTGCTGTGGAGACCCAAGAGGAGGCACAGAGGGCTGCTCAGATTGCTGCTGCTGCTGGAAGCGGTTGAGGAAGTCACTCCGCAGTCGCCCCACCGCTGCAGTTTGGACAACAGGAGTGGGAGCAGGCACAGGGGCCGGTGCTTCTGCTGTTGTACTCGCCATGCCTGCCCGCCAGGCTCGGATGGGCACAGGCTTGGGCGCAGGTTCGGAGTCGGACCAGTCTGATTCGGAATCAGAGCTAGAGTGGGAAGAAGGCTGTGTAGGGCGGATCCACGAGTTGGCAGGGCGAGAGGGAACAGAGGGAACAGATGGAGCAGAGGGCGCAGGGAGAGGAGAGGGAGGAGAGGGAATGGCAAGGGACGAGGAGTGGGTGGGAAGCAGGCGAACGGTGTCAATCGATGGAGCTTCTGCTGCCATTGCTGCTGCTTGTGTCTGCTCCACCAAGGGGGGTGTTGTCTCAACTGCTGCTGCTTGCCCGTCCTCCCTTGCTTCTGGTGCTTCGGCCACCGGTGCTGCTGCTGATCCTTCCACATCTTCTTCTCCTTCCAATGCTGCTGACCCTTGCACCAGTGCTGATCCTTCCTCTGCTGCTTTGCCTTCCACTGCTGCTTCTCCTTCCACCACTTCTACGCCTTCCACCGCTGCTGATCCTCCCATGTCTGCCCCTTCCGCTTCTGCTGCCACTGGCGCAGACTCTGACGCTTCAATGTTCTTCGAAGCAGCCTCTGATGTGCTCTCGCCACTGACGCTTGCATCCGCTGCTGGCACTGCCACATTCTCCTCTCCACCTGCACTCTCTCCCTCCACACTCTCTCCCCCCACACTGTCTCCCTCCACACTCTCTCCCCCCACGCTCTCTCCATCCACACTCTCCCCGTCCGCACTCTCTGATGCGCTCTCGCCACTGACGCTAGCATCCGCTGCTGGCACTGCCACATCTCTTTCCTCCACAATCTCTCCCGCCACAATCTCTCCCGCCACAATCTCTCCCGCCACACTCTCTCCCGCCACAATCTCTCCCGCCACAATCTCTCCCGCCACACTCTCTCCCGCCACAATCTCTCCCGCCACAATCTCTCCCGCCACAATCTCTCCCGCCACAATCTCTCCCGCCACAATCTCTCCCGCCACACTCTCTCCCGCCACAATCTCTCCCGCCACACTCTCTCCCGCCACAATCTCTCCCGCCACAATCTCTCCCGCCACACTCTCTCCCGCCACAATCTCTCCCGCCACACTCTCTCCCGCCACAATCTCTCCCGCCACAATCTCTCCCGCCACACTCTCTCCCGCCACAATCTCTCCCGCCACACTCTCTCCCGCCACAATCTCTCCCGCCACAATCTCTCCCGCCACACTCTCTCCCGCCACAATCTCTCCCGCCACACTCTCTCCCGCCACAATCTCTCCCGCCACAATCTCTCCCGCCACACTCTCTCCCGCCACAATCTCTCCCGCCACACTCTCTCCCGCCACAATCTCTCCCGCCACAATCTCTCCCGCCACACTCTCTCCCGCCACACTCTCTCCCGCCACACTCTCTCCCGCCACAATCTCTCCCGCCACACTCTCTCCCGCCACACTCTCTCCCGCCACACTCTCTCCCGCCACACTCTCTCCCGCCACACTCTCTCCCGCCACAATCTCTCCCGCCACACTCTCTCCCGCCACACTCTCTCCCGCCACACTCTCTCCCGCCACACTCTCTCCCGCCACACTCTCTCCCGCCACACTCTCTCCCGCCACAATCTCTCCCGCCACAATCTCTCCCGCCACAATCTCTCCCGCCACAATCTCTCCCGCCACACTCTCTCCCGCCACAATCTCTCCCGCCACACTCTCTCCCGCCACAATCTCTCCCGCCACACTCTCTCCCGCCACACTCTCTCCCGCCACAGTCTCTCCCGCCACACTCTCTCCCGCCACACTCTCTCCCGCCACAATCTCTCCCGCCACACTCTCTCCCGCCACAATCTCTCCCGCCACACTCTCTCCCGCCACAATCTCTCCCGCCACACTCTCTCCCGCCACACTCTCTCCCGCCACACTCTCTCCCGCCACAATCTCTCCCGCCACACTCTCTCCCGCCACACTCTCTCCCGCCACACTCTCTCCCGCCACACTCTCTCCCGCCACACTCTCTCCCGCCACAATCTCTCCCGCCACACTCTCTCCCGCCACACTCTCTCCCGCCACACTCTCTCCCGCCACACTCTCTCCCGCCACACTCTCTCCCGCCACACTCTCTCCCGCCACAATCTCTCCCGCCACACTCTCTCCCGCCACACTCTCTCCCGCCACAATCTCTCCCGCCACACTCTCTCCCGCCACACTCTCTCCCGCCACACTCTCTCCCGCCACAATCTCTCCCGCGACAATCTCTCCCGCCACACTCTCTCCCGCCACACTCTCTCCCGCCACACTCTCTCCCGCCACAATCTCTCCCGCCACACTCTCTCCCGCCACACTCTCTCCCGCCACACTCTCTCCCGCCACACTCTCTCCCGCCACACTCTCTCCCGCCACAATCTCTCCCGCCACACTCTCTCCCGCCACACTCTCTCCCGCCACACTCTCTCCCGCCACACTCTCTCCCGCCACACTCTCTCCCGCCACAATCTCTCCCGCCACACTCTCTCCCGCCACACTCTCTCCCGCCACACTCTCTCCCGCCACACTCTCTCCCGCCACACTCTCTCCCGCCAAAATCTCTCCCGCCGCACTCTCTCCCGCCACACTCTCTCCCGCCACACTCTCTCCCGCCACACTCTCTCCCGCCACACTCTCTCCCGCCACAATCTCTCCCGCCACACTCTCTCCCGCCACACTCTCTCCCGCCACAATCTCTCCCGCCACACTCTCTCCCGCCACACTCTCTCCCGCCACACTCTCTCCCGCCACACTCTCTCCCGCCACACTCTCTCCCGCCACAATCTCTCCCGCCACACTCTCTCCCGCCACACTCTCTCCCGCCACACTCTCTCCCGCCACACTCTCTCCCGCCACACTCTCTCCCCGCCACACTCTCAACCGCCACACTCTCTCCCGCCACACTCTCTCCCGCCACACTCTCTCCCGCCACACTCTCTCCCGCCACACTCTCTCCCGCCACACTCTCTCCCGCCACACTCTCTCCCGCCACACTCTCTCCCGCCACACTCTCTCCCGCCACACTCTCTCCCGCCACACTCTCTCCCGCCACACTCTCTCCCGCCACACTCTCTCCCGCCACACTCTCTCCCGCCACACTCTCTCCCGCCACAATCTCTCCCGCCACACTCTCTCCCGCCACAATCTCTCCCGCCACAATCTCTCCCGCCACACTCTCTCCCGCCACAATCTCTCCCGCCACACTCTCTCCCGCCACACTCTCTCCCGCCACACTCTCTCCCGCCACAATCTCTCCCGCCACACTCTCTCCCGCCACACTCTCTCCCGCCACACTCTCTCCCGCCACAATCTCTCCCGCCACAATCTCTCCCGCCACACTCTCTCCCGCCACACTCTCTCCCGCCACACTCTCTCCCGCCACACTCTCTCCCGCCACAATCTCTCCCGCCACACTCTCTCCCGCCACACTCTCTCCCGCCACACTCTCTCCCGCCACACTCTCTCCCGCCACACTCTCTCCCGCCACAATCTCTCCCGCCACACTCTCTCCCGCCACACTCTCTCCCGCCACACTCTCTCCCGCCACACTCTCTCCCGCCACACTCTCTCCCGCCACAATCTCTCCCGCCACACTCTCTCCCGCCACACTCTCTCCCGCCACACTCTCTCCCGCCACACTCTCTCCCGCCACACTCTCTCCCGCCACACTCTCTCCCGCCACACTCTCTCCCGCCACACTCTCTCCCGCCACAATCTCTCCCGCCACACTCTCTCCCGCCACAATCTCTCCCGCCACAATCTCTCCCGCCACACTCTCTCCCGCCACAATCTCTCCCGCCACACTCTCTCCCGCCACACTCTCTCCCGCCACACTCTCTCCCGCCACAATCTCTCCCGCCACACTCTCTCCCGCCACACTCTCTCCCGCCACACTCTCTCCCGCCACAATCTCTCCCGCCACAATCTCTCCCGCCACACTCTCTCCCGCCACAATCTCTCCCGCCACACTCTCTCCCGCCACACTCTCTCCCGCCACAGTCTCTCCCGCCACACTCTCTCCCGCCACACTCTCTCCCGCCACAATCTCTCCCGCCACACTCTCTCCCGCCACAATCTCTCCCGCCACACTCTCTCCCGCCACAATCTCTCCCGCCACACTCTCTCCCGCCACACTCTCTCCCGCCACACTCTCTCCCGCCACACTCTCTCCCGCCACACTCTCTCCCGCCACACTCTCTCCCGCCACACTCTCTCCCGCCACACTCTCTCCCGCCACACTCTCTCCCGCCACAATCTCTCCCGCCACACTCTCTCCCGCCACACTCTCTCCCGCCACACTCTCTCCCGCCACACTCTCTCCCGCCACACTCTCTCCCGCCACACTCTCTCCCGCCACAATCTCTCCCGCCACACTCTCTCCCGCCACACTCTCTCCCGCCACAATCTCTCCCGCCACACTCTCTCCCGCCACACTCTCTCCCGCCACACTCTCTCCCGCCACAATCTCTCCCGCGACAATCTCTCCCGCCACACTCTCTCCCGCCACACTCTCTCCCGCCACACTCTCTCCCGCCACAATCTCTCCCGCCACACTCTCTCCCGCCACACTCTCTCCCGCCACACTCTCTCCCGCCACACTCTCTCCCGCCACACTCTCTCCCGCCACAATCTCTCCCGCCACACTCTCTCCCGCCACACTCTCTCCCGCCACACTCTCTCCCGCCACACTCTCTCCCGCCACACTCTCTCCCGCCACACTCTCTCCCGCCACACTCTCTCCCGCCACACTCTCTCCCGCCACACTCTCTCCCGCCACACTCTCTCCCGCCACACTCTCTCCCGCCACACTCTCTCCCGCCACACTCTCTCCCGCCACACTCTCTCCCGCCACACTCTCTCCCGCCACACTCTCTCCCGCCACACTCTCTCCCGCCACACTCTCTCCCGCCACAATCTCTCCCGCCACACTCTCTCCCGCCACACTCTCTCCCGCCACAATCTCTCCCGCCACACTCTCTCCCGCCACACTCTCTCCCGCCACACTCTCTCCCGCCACACTCTCTCCCGCCACACTCTCTCCCGCCACAATCTCTCCCGCCACACTCTCTCCCGCCACACTCTCTCCCGCCACACTCTCTCCCGCCACACTCTCTCCCGCCACACTCTCTCCCGCCACACTCTCAACCGCCACACTCTCTCCCGCCACACTCTCTCCCGCCACACTCTCTCCCGCCACAATCTCTCCCGCCACACTCTCTCCCGCCACACTCTCTCCCGCCACACTCTCTCCCGCCACACTCTCTCCCGCCACACTCTCTCCCGCCACACTCTCTCCCGCCACACTCTCTCCCGCCACACTCTCTCCCGCCACACTCTCTCCCGCCACACTCTCTCCCGCCACACTCTCTCCCGCCACAATCTCTCCCGCCACACTCTCTCCCGCCACAATCTCTCCCGCCACAATCTCTCCCGCCACACTCTCTCCCGCCACAATCTCTCCCGCCACACTCTCTCCCGCCACACTCTCTCCCGCCACACTCTCTCCCGCCACAATCTCTCCCGCCACACTCTCTCCCGCCACACTCTCTCCCGCCACACTCTCTCCCGCCACAATCTCTCCCGCCACAATCTCTCCCGCCACACTCTCTCCCGCCACACTCTCTCCCGCCACACTCTCTCCCGCCACAATCTCTCCCGCCACACTCTCTCCCGCCACACTCTCTCCCGCCACACTCTCTCCCGCCACACTCTCTCCCGCCACAATCTCTCCCGCCACACTCTCTCCCGCCACACTCTCTCCCGCCACACTCTCTCCCGCCACACTCTCTCCCGCCACACTCTCTCCCGCCACAATCTCTCCCGCCACACTCTCTCCCGCCACACTCTCTCCCGCCACACTCTCTCCCGCCACACTCTCTCCCGCCACACTCTCTCCCGCCACACTCTCTCCCGCCACAATCTCTCCCGCCACACTCTCTCCCGCCACACTCTCTCCCGCCACAATCTCTCCCGCCACACTCTCTCCCGCCACACTCTCTCCCGCCACACTCTCTCCCGCCACAATCTCTCCCGCGACAATCTCTCCCGCCACACTCTCTCCCGCCACACTCTCTCCCGCCACACTCTCTCCCGCCACAATCTCTCCCGCCACACTCTCTCCCGCCACACTCTCTCCCGCCACACTCTCTCCCGCCACACTCTCTCCCGCCACACTCTCTCCCGCCACAATCTCTCCCGCCACACTCTCTCCCGCCACACTCTCTCCCGCCACACTCTCTCCCGCCACACTCTCTCCCGCCACACTCTCTCCCGCCACAATCTCTCCCGCCACACTCTCTCCCGCCACACTCTCTCCCGCCACACTCTCTCCCGCCACACTCTCTCCCGCCACACTCTCTCCCGCCAAAATCTCTCCCGCCACACTCTCTCCCGCCACACTCTCTCCCGCCACACTCTCTCCCGCCACACTCTCTCCCGCCACACTCTCTCCCGCCACAATCTCTCCCGCCACACTCTCTCCCGCCACACTCTCTCCCGCCACACTCTCTCCCGCCACACTCTCTCCCGCCACACTCTCTCCCGCCACACTCTCTCCCGCCACACTCTCTCCCGCCACACTCTCTCCCGCCACAATCTCTCCCGCCACACTCTCTCCCGCCACACTCTCTCCCGCCACACTCTCTCCCGCCACACTCTCTCCCGCCACACTCTCTCCCGCCACACTCTCAACCGCCACACTCTCTCCCGCCACACTCTCTCCCGCCACACTCTCTCCCGCCACAATCTCTCCCGCCACACTCTCTCCCGCCACACTCTCTCCCGCCACACTCTCTCCCGCCACACTCTCTCCCGCCACACTCTCTCCCGCCACACTCTCTCCCGCCACACTCTCTCCCGCCACACTCTCTCCCGCCACACTCTCTCCCGCCACACTCTCTCCCGCCACACTCTCTCCCGCCACAATCTCTCCCGCCACACTCTCTCCCGCCACAATCTCTCCCGCCACAATCTCTCCCGCCACACTCTCTCCCGCCACAATCTCTCCCGCCACACTCTCTCCCGCCACACTCTCTCCCGCCACACTCTCTCCCGCCACAATCTCTCCCGCCACACTCTCTCCCGCCACACTCTCTCCCGCCACACTCTCTCCCGCCACAATCTCTCCCGCCACAATCTCTCCCGCCACACTCTCTCCCGCCACACTCTCTCCCGCCACACTCTCTCCCGCCACAATCTCTCCCGCCACACTCTCTCCCGCCACACTCTCTCCCGCCACACTCTCTCCCGCCACACTCTCTCCCGCCACACTCTCTCCCGCCACAATCTCTCCCGCCACACTCTCTCCCGCCACACTCTCTCCCGCCACACTCTCTCCCGCCACACTCTCTCCCGCCACACTCTCTCCCGCCACAATCTCTCCCGCCACACTCTCTCCCGCCACACTCTCTCCCGCCACACTCTCTCCCGCCACACTCTCTCCCGCCACACTCTCTCCCGCCAAAATCTCTCCCGCCACACTCTCTCCCGCCACACTCTCTCCCGCCACACTCTCTCCCGCCACACTCTCTCCCGCCACACTCTCTCCCGCCACAATCTCTCCCGCCACACTCTCTCCCGCCACACTCTCTCCCGCCACAATCTCTCCCGCCACACTCTCTCCCGCCACACTCTCTCCCGCCACACTCTCTCCCGCCACACTCTCTCCCGCCACACTCTCTCCCGCCACAATCTCTCCCGCCACACTCTCTCCCGCCACACTCTCTCCCGCCACACTCTCTCCCGCCACACTCTCTCCCGCCACACTCTCTCCCGCCACACTCTCAACCGCCACACTCTCTCCCGCCACACTCTCTCCCGCCACACTCTCTCCCGCCACAATCTCTCCCGCCACACTCTCTCCCGCCACACTCTCTCCCGCCACACTCTCTCCCGCCACAATCTCTCCCGCGACACTCTCTCCCGCCACACTCTCTCCCGCCACACTCTCTCCCGCCACACTCTCTCCCGCCACACTCTCTCCCGCCACAATCTCTCCCGCCACACTCTCTCCCGCCACACTCTCTCCCGCCACACTCTCTCCCGCCACACTCTCTCCCGCCACACTCTCTCCCGCCACACTCTCTCCCGCCACACTCTCTCCCGCCACACTCTCTCCCGCCACACTCTCTCCCGCCACACTCTCTCCCGCCACACTCTCTCCCGCCACAATCTCTCCCGCCACACTCTCTCCCGCCACAATCTCTCCCGCCACAATCTCTCCCGCCACACTCTCTCCCGCCACAATCTCTCCCGCCACACTCTCTCCCGCCACAATCTCTCCCGCCACAATCTCTCCCGCCACAATCTCTCCCGCCACAATCTCTCCCGCCACAATCTCTCCCGCCACAATCTCTCCCGCCACAATCTCTCCCGCCACAATCTCTCCCGCCACAATCTCTCCCGCCACACTCTCTCCCGCCACACTCTCTCCCGCCACACTCTCTCCCGCCACACTCTCTCCCGCCACAATCTCTCCCGCCACACTCTCTCCCGCCACACTCTCTCCCGCCACACTCTCTCCCGCCACAATCTCTCCCGCCACACTCTCTCCCGCCACACTCTCTCCCGCCACACTCTCTCCCGCCACAATCTCTCCCGCGACACTCTCTCCCGCCACACTCTCTCCCGCCACACTCTCTCCCGCCACACTCTCTCCCGCCACACTCTCTCCCGCCACAATCTCTCCCGCCACACTCTCTCCCGCCACACTCTCCCGCCACACTCTCTCCCGCCACACTCTCTCCCGCCACACTCTCTCCCGCCACACTCTCTCCCGCCACACTCTCTCCCGCCACACTCTCTCCCGCCACACTCTCTCCCGCCACACTCTCTCCCGCCACACTCTCTCCCGCCACACTCTCTCCCGCCACACTCTCTCCCGCCACAATCTCTCCCGCCACACTCTCTCCCGCCACAATCTCTCCCGCCACAATCTCTCCCGCCACACTCTCTCCCGCCACAATCTCTCCCGCCACACTCTCTCCCGCCACAATCTCTCCCGCCACAATCTCTCCCGCCACAATCTCTCCCGCCACAATCTCTCCCGCCACAATCTCTCCCGCCACAATCTCTCCCGCCACAATCTCTCCCGCCACAATCTCTCCCGCCACAATCTCTCCCGCCACACTCTCTCCCGCCACAATCTCTCCCGCCACAATCTCTCCCGCCACACTCTCTCCCGCCACAATCTCTCCCGCCACACTCTCTCCCGCCACAATCTCTCCCGCCACAATCTCTCCCGCCACACTCTCTCCCGCCACAATCTCTCCCGCCACACTCTCTCCCGCCACAATCTCTCCCGCTACAATCTCTCCCGCCACACTCTCTCCCGCCACAATCTCTCCCGCCACACTCTCTCCCGCCACACTCTCTCCCGCCACACTCTCTCCCGCCACAATCTCTCCCGCCACACTCTCTCCCGCCACACTCTCTCCCGCCACACTCTCTCCCGCCACACTCTCTCCCGCCACACTCTCTCCCGCCACACTCTCTCCCGCCACACTCTCTCCCGCCACACTCTCTCCCGCCACACTCTCTCCCGCCACACTCTCTCCCGCCACACTCTCTCCCGCCACACTCTCTCCCGCCACAATCTCTCCCGCCACACTCTCTCCCGCCACACTCTCTCCCGCCACACTCTCTCCCGCCACAATCTCTCCCGCGACACTCTCTCCCGCCACACTCTCTCCCGCCACACTCTCTCCCGCCACACTCTCTCCCGCCACACTCTCTCCCGCCACACTCTCTCCCGCCACACTCTCTCCCGCCACACTCTCTCCCGCCACACTCTCTCCCGCCACACTCTCTCCCGCCACACTCTCTCCCGCCACACTCTCTCCCGCCACACTCTCTCCCGCCACACTCTCTCCCGCCACACTCTCTCCCGCCACACTCTCTCCCGCCACACTCTCTCCCGCCACACTCTCTCCCGCCACACTCTCTCCCGCCACACTCTCTCCCGCCACAATCTCTCCCGCCACACTCTCTCCCGCCACAATCTCTCCCGCCACACTCTCTCCCGCCACAATCTCTCCCGCCACAATCTCTCCCGCCACAATCTCTCCCGCCACAATCTCTCCCGCCACAATCTCTCCCGCCACAATCTCTCCCGCCACAATCTCTCCCGCCACAATCTCTCCCGCCACAATCTCTCCCGCCACACTCTCTCCCGCCACAATCTCTCCCGCCACAATCTCTCCCGCCACACTCTCTCCCGCCACAATCTCTCCCGCCACACTCTCTCCCGCCACAATCTCTCCCGCCACAATCTCTCCCGCCACACTCTCTCCCGCCACAATCTCTCCCGCCACACTCTCTCCCGCCACAATCTCTCCCGCCACAATCTCTCCCGCCACACTCTCTCCCGCCACAATCTCTCCCGCCACACTCTCTCCCGCCACACTCTCTCCCGCCACACTCTCTCCCGCCACAATCTCTCCCGCCACACTCTCTCCGCCACACTCTCTCCCGCCACACTCTCTCCCGCCACACTCTCTCCCGCCACACTCTCTCCCGCCACACTCTCTCCCGCCACACTCTCTCCCGCCACACTCTCTCCCGCCACACTCTCTCCCGCCACACTCTCTCCCGCCACACTCTCTCCCGCCACAATCTCTCCCGCCACACTCTCTCCCGCCACAATCTCTCCCGCCACAATCTCTCCCGCCACACTCTCTCCCGCCACAATCTCTCCCGCCACACTCTCTCCCGCCACAATCTCTCCCGCCACACTCTCTCCCGCCACACTCTCTCCCGCCACACTCTCTCCCGCCACACTCTCTCCCGCCACACTCTCTCCCGCCACACTCTCTCCCGCCACACTCTCTCCCGCCACACTCTCTCCCGCCACACTCTCTCCCGCCACACTCTCTCCCGCCACACTCTCTCCCGCCACACTCTCTCCCGTGACACTCTCTCCCGCCACACTCTCTCCCGCCACACTCTCTCCCGCCACACTCTCTCCCGCCACACTCTCTCCCGCCACACTCTCTCCCGCCACACTCTCTCCCGCCACACTCTCTCCCGCCACACTCTCTCCCGCCACACTCTCTCCCGCCACACTCTCTCCCGCCACACTCTCTCCCGCCACACTCTCTCCCGCCACACTCTCTCCCGCCACACTCTCTCCCGCCACACTCTCTCCCGCCACACTCTCTCCCGCCACAATCTCTCCCGCCACACTCTCTCCCGCCACACTCTCTCCCGCCACACTCTCTCCCGCCACAATCTCTCCCGCGACACTCTCTCCCGCCACACTCTCTCCCGCCACACTCTCTCCCGCCACACTCTCTCCCGCCACACTCTCTCCCGCCACAATCTCTCCCGCCACACTCTCTCCCGCCACACTCTCTCCCGCCACACTCTCTCCCGCCACACTCTCTCCCGCCACACTCTCTCCCGCCACACTCTCTCCCGCCACACTCTCTCCCGCCACACTCTCTCCCGCCACACTCTCTCCCGCCACACTCTCTCCCGCCACTCTCTCCGCCACAATCTCTCCCGCCACACTCTCTCCCGCCACAATCTCTCCCGCCACAATCTCTCCCGCCACACTCTCTCCCGCCACAATCTCTCCCGCCACACTCTCTCCCGCCACAATCTCTCCCGCCACAATCTCTCCCGCCACAATCTCTCCCGCCACAATCTCTCCCGCCACAATCTCTCCCGCCACAATCTCTCCCGCCACAATCTCTCCCGCCACAATCTCTCCCGCCACAATCTCTCCCGCCACACTCTCTCCCGCCACACTCTCTCCCGCCACACTCTCTCCCGCCACACTCTCTCCCGCCACACTCTCTCCCGCCACAATCTCTCCCGCCACACTCTCTCCCGCCACACTCTCTCCCGCCACACTCTCTCCCGCCACAATCTCTCCCGCCACACTCTCTCCCGCCACACTCTCTCCCGCCACACTCTCTCCCGCCACAATCTCTCCCGCGACACTCTCTCCCGCCACACTCTCTCCCGCCACACTCTCTCCCGCCACACTCTCTCCCGCCACACTCTCTCCCGCCACAATCTCTCCCGCCACACTCTCTCCCGCCACACTCTCTCCCGCCACACTCTCTCCCGCCACACTCTCTCCCGCCACACTCTCTCCCGCCACACTCTCTCCCGCCACACTCTCTCCCGCCACACTCTCTCCCGCCACACTCTCTCCCGCCACACTCTCTCCCGCCACACTCTCTCCCGCCACAATCTCTCCCGCCACACTCTCTCCCGCCACAATCTCTCCCGCCACAATCTCTCCCGCCACACTCTCTCCCGCCACAATCTCTCCCGCCACACTCTCTCCCGCCACAATCTCTCCCGCCACAATCTCTCCCGCCACAATCTCTCCCGCCACAATCTCTCCCGCCACAATCTCTCCCGCCACAATCTCTCCCGCCACAATCTCTCCCGCCACAATCTCTCCCGCCACAATCTCTCCCGCCACACTCTCTCCCGCCACACTCTCTCCCGCCACACTCTCTCCCGCCACACTCTCTCCCGCCACACTCTCTCCCGCCACAATCTCTCCCGCCACACTCTCTCCCGCCACACTCTCTCCCGCCACACTCTCTCCCGCCACACTCTCTCCCGCCACACTCTCTCCCGCCACAATCTCTCCCGCCACACTCTCTCCCGCCACAATCTCTCCCGCCACACTCTCTCCCGCCACAATCTCTCCCGCCACAATCTCTCCCGCCACACTCTCTCCCGCCACAATCTCTCCCGCCACACTCTCTCCCGCCACAATCTCTCCCGCCACAATCTCTCCCGCCACACTCTCTCCCGCCACAATCTCTCCCGCCACACTCTCTCCCGCCACAATCTCTCCCGCCACACTCTCTCCCGCCACACTCTCTCCCGCCACACTCTCTCCCGCCACACTCTCTCCCGCCACACTCTCTCCCGCCACACTCTCTCCCGCCACACTCTCTCCCGCCACACTCTCTCCCGCCACACTCTCTCCCGCCACACTCTCTCCCGCCACACTCTCTCCCGCCACACTCTCTCCCGCCACACTCTCTCCCGCCACACTCTCTCCCGCCACACTCTCTCCCGCCACACTCTCTCCCGCCACACTCTCTCCCGCCACACTCTCTCCCGCCACACTCTCTCCCGCCACACTCTCTCCCGCCACACTCTCTCCCGCCACACTCTCTCCCGCCACACTCTCTCCCGCCACACTCTCTCCCGCCACACTCTCTCCCGCCACACTCTCTCCCGCCACACTCTCTCCCGCCACACTCTCTCCCGCCACAATCTCTCCCGCCACACTCTCTCCCGCCACAATCTCTCCCGCCACAATCTCTCCCGCCACACTCTCTCCCGCCACAATCTCTCCCGCCACACTCTCTCCCGCCACAATCTCTCCCGCCACAATCTCTCCCGCCACAATCTCTCCCGCCACAATCTCTCCCGCCACAATCTCTCCCGCCACAATCTCTCCCGCCACAATCTCTCCCGCCACAATCTCTCCCGCCACAATCTCTCCCGCCACACTCTCTCCCGCCACACTCTCTCCCGCCACACTCTCTCCCGCCACACTCTCTCCCGCCACACTCTCTCCCGCCACACTCTCTCCCGCCACAATCTCTCCCGCCACACTCTCTCCCGCCACACTCTCTCCCGCCACACTCTCTCCCGCCACACTCTCTCCCGCCACACTCTCTCCCGCCACAATCTCTCCCGCCACACTCTCTCCCGCCACAATCTCTCCCGCCACACTCTCTCCCGCCACAATCTCTCCCGCCACAATCTCTCCCGCCACACTCTCTCCCGCCACAATCTCTCCCGCCACACTCTCTCCCGCCACAATCTCTCCCGCCACAATCTCTCCCGCCACACTCTCTCCCGCCACAATCTCTCCCGCCACACTCTCTCCCGCCACAATCTCTCCCGCCACACTCTCTCCCGCCACACTCTCTCCCGCCACACTCTCTCCCGCCACACTCTCTCCCGCCACACTCTCTCCCGCCACACTCTCTCCCGCCACACTCTCTCCCGCCACACTCTCTCCCGCCACACTCTCTCCCGCCACACTCTCTCCCGCCACACTCTCTCCCGCCACAATCTCTCCCGCCACAATCTCTCCCGCCACAATCTCTCCCGCCACAATCTCTCCCGCCACAATCTCTCCCGCCACAATCTCTCCCGCCACAATCTCTCCCGCCACAATCTCTCCCGCCACAATCTCTCCCGCCACACTCTCTCCCGCCACAATCTCTCCCGCCACACTCTCTCCCGCCACACTCTCTCCCGCCACACTCTCTCCCGCCACACTCTCTCCCGCCACACTCTCTCCCGCCACACTCTCTCCCGCCACACTCTCTCCCGCCACACTCTCTCCCGCCACGATCTCTCCCGCCACACTCTCTCCCGCCACACTCTCTCCCGCCACACTCTCTCCCGCCACACTCTCTCCCGCCACACTCTCTCCCGCCACACTCTCTCCCGCCACACTCTCTCCCGCCACACTCTCTCCCGCCACACTCTCTCCCGCCACAATCTCTCCCGCCACAATCTCTCCCGCCACAATCTCTCCCGCCACAATCTCTCCCGCCACAATCTCTCCCGCCACACTCTCTCCCGCCACACTCTCTCCCGCCACACTCTCTCCCGCCACACTCTCTCCCGCCACACTCTCTCCCGCCACACTCTCTCCCGCCACACTCTCTCCCGCCACACTCTCTCCCGCCACACTCTCTCCCGCCACAATCTCTCCCGCCACACTCTCTCCCGCCACACTCTCTCCCGCCACACTCTCTCCCGCCACACTCTCTCCCGCCACACTCTCTCCCGCCACACTCTCTCCCGCCACACTCTCTCCCGCCACACTCTCTCCCGCCACACTCTCTCCCGCCACACTCTCTCCCGCCACACTCTCTCCCGCCACACTCTCTCCCGCCACACTCTCTCCCGCCACACTCTCTCCCGCCACACTCTCTCCCGCCACACTCTCTCCCGCCACACTCTCTCCCGCCACAATCTCTCCCGCCACACTCTCTCCCGCCACACTCTCTCCCGCCACACTCTCTCCCGCCACACTCTCTCCCGCCACACTCTCTCCCGCCACACTCTCTCCCGCCACACTCTCTCCCGCCACACTCTCTCCCGCCACACTCTCTCCCGCCACAATCTCTCCCGCCACACTCTCTCCCGCCACACTCTCTCCCGCCACACTCTCTCCCGCCACACTCTCTCCCGCCACACTCTCTCCCGCCACACTCTCTCCCGCCACACTCTCTCTCGCCACACTCTCTCCCGCCACACTCTCTCCCGCCACACTCTCTCCCGCCACACTCTCTCCCGCCACACTCTCTCCCGCCACACTCTCTCCCGCCACAATCTCTCCCGCCACAATCTCTCCCGCCACAATCTCTCCCGC